TTTTTTACATGTTTCCCTCATCATTCAGATAACGACAACAGCATTTAACAACATTTGTCTCTCTTCTTTTAGCAGAGGAGCTGGGGGGTTGGAGAGTTCAGGTCGGGGGTAAGGTCCAGCTCAGTCTGTGGAACACTACATGGCTTCTTCCTCCTGAATCTCACGCGCACACTGAGTAGCCCTTTCACTCTTTCCAAATGTTCCGGACATGTGCACCCACCAGGCCGTGAGGTGAGGAGTGAAAGGTCACGAGAGGTGAGTGAAGACACCAAAAGCAGCCAAGCACACCTTGAGACAACACTTCAGTACTCACAAGTGTACCTGATGCCTGACTCAAAGTATGGAAATGACCCAGAAAACAGGTTGGCGCTGGCCAGATCCAGATTGGAAACATGATTTTACCCATGCCAAAAAAATGGATAACTGTTAAATAAGCAAAATGCAGATAACTCTTTCTAACTTTCTAACTCTTTCTTTCTAATCCAGTCCAATCAAACTCTATTGATTTAGCACATAAGAAACAACAAAATTATCATGTACACATATCAACACAATAAAACAATAAGCCCACATTAAGAACAACAGGAAAATAAAAATGAAAAGGAGTTTAAAAAAAACTGTTAGAAATTTGTTAGTGAGGATTTCCTGGATATTAATATTTGTATTAAAGACAACAAACTTGACTTAACATGGATGACACATTTAGAACACTCGATCTAAACTCTTAAGCACAAAGGAAACTCCTTAGTGAACAATGTGTTAAAATTATTTCATCAGTTGAACCAAACATGGTCTGTGTATGGTCATTCATGTGGAAAGGGATATTAAATGCAAATTGTATTTAGATATATGGAAATATAAAATCAACATTGTTTTATAACTCCAAGATGGAGCACTCCTTCATTTTAATATTTTATGATGAAATCCAAAAATTGGCCTTGGGTGTTATGTCTAAATCTGTTTTCTACAAAAATAGGGACAGGAATGAAAATGGGTTTCACATTTAATTTAATTGGTTGCACATCAGAAGACTACATACATCACTCTTCTCCAAACCTTTTTGTTGGTGACCTGTCAACACCAAACATGGTCCACTTACACCCCTGATAACCGTAGGTGTCATGCTGTTTATTTGTTATTATAATCATTGGTATTGAATGTGTTTTTCTGAAAACAGACTGCCTCCATTGTGAATGCATCTGGATGCAGCAGACCACCAAACTCTCCGGCTGCTGGCGGTGATGTTGGAAAAGGCCTTGGTTTTTGGTTATCTGTTTTCAAACATAAACAAGTGCAACCTCGAGACATTTTGGTTTTGTTTTACAGCTTAACGGTGCACACAAAGGTGCTAAAAGACAAGTGTGGAAATTAAGCCATGCAGTTATAGAATACTGCTTTATATTTCATCAGCAGGGCCTGCTTTGACAGTGATTTAATTCATGAGTCTGTTGTGTTGCTTCAGACAGACTAATTATGCATAACGTGGTGGTCTAGTCTTGCCTAATGTTATCCCAGGTTAAAAAAATAATCGTCGCCCATCCTGTTGTGGGGTATTAGTCAAGTATGTCATAGCTGGATCTCTTGGTCTCTGAAGCAAATGAATACAATCTTTTAACTTAATAAGTTTTGACACTGAGTATGTCTGCTGCTTAAGTAATATCACAATATTTACTGACTCATACCCAAATGTACTGTTACATATTGAACACGATCGTCTTTAAAAAGCAAGGAAATATATATAGTTTTTAGCTAATCTTATTCAAACTGTTAAAATGTTATGTTGTTGGGGGTTATTTCCCGCTGTTGACTTATACTTTATTGAGGATTTATAGCAGAAGGAGAATAGTTTAATTTCCTTAAAATAAACTCCAGGACCCATATTCATTTTGATAAATGAACATGTCTTTAATAGTTGGACAACAAGCTGTTGGACAGTCTCTAAGTAATTGAGGTATAAGATATATCAGGCTTTAGCTGCACAGGATAAAATATTAAAAGTCAGATCTGTACGTCTAAAACCTTTGCAGTGCTGGTTGATGTCTGGTGTGACTGCAGGTGGGCGGACAAGTAGAAACATGAAGACTGGCCCAGCCACAGGACCCTGGTCCCTGTCCCTGGTTGCTCAACCTGTGTGTCACTGGTGTGTGTGTGTGTGTGTGTGTGTGTGTGTGTGTGACAGTGTAATGGGCAGTGCATATTCCTTGCCACGCTCCAGTGCACAGGCAGCTTTCACAATCATCCTGATGCTCCGTGTACTGGATCAACTGTTTTTGCTGGTTGTTATTATTTGTTGTTAATGGATGACAGAATTTGAATAGAGACATGTGAAATGTACGGACCTGAGGTGTGGCAAGACGTACCTTGTGCATAATGTGTGTGTGTGTGTGTGTGTGTGTGTGTGTGTGTGTGTGTGTGTGTACTCTTTTAAGCCAGAATTATGCCTGCTCACAGAAATGTTAGGCCCTTGATTCACAGAACACAACATTTTCTTTGTGGAACTATGTGTAAGTCTAAGTCTCTGTGCCTCTGCAGCTTCCTGAAAAGATTTGGTGTCGGACAACATTTAAATCGGCTAATTAAGAAAATCAATCAGTTTCTCCAGGCCCTAAAAACTGACACAGAGTCATTAAGTTGTCACCGGAGATGACAGATCTGCAGACAGACTGAAATGTATCTGTTTTCTTTTGGGTTATTAACTCTACACACATCACACAGTGTCTGGCACCTTGCACACAGTGGAGCAAACTGCAGGAGAGCTGTACATCAGGTAAACCACATTCAACTATAGTGATAAAGAATTTAGAGAGATTGCAGACTTTTAGATGGAAAAACTATTGGTCTTTGTATGGAAGAAAATGTCCTACCCCTAACATTGGGGCGGCGATAGCCTAGCAGTTATGTCACGCACACCATGTACAGAGGCTATAGTCTCATCACAGCAGCCGTGGGTTCGAATCCGAACTCGGCCCTTTGCTGCATGTCGTCCCCCCACTTTCTTCTCCCAGCCTTTCCTGTCTCAGATTTCAGATGTTATCATGAAAAGTTATTTTTATTGGTTAGTTGTTTCCTTGTGAAGCTAAATGTCTACCATCTAGATCAGCTTGTGTTAAAGAGAGTCAATGTTTCTTTTTGAGTCTTGAGCTAATAAGTTGAGAGTTATCCTGTGTATTACTAATGATTGTTACTACACTGACAGATGCATCTGACCAATAATCAGTTAAGGATCTTGTTGTAAACCATCGTTCATATTCACACAGATGCTCAGTGGCTTCTGTGCGCAAAATGATTGTTCTTTTTTTTTTTTTTTAAAGCAATTGCTTGGGTTCACTCAATGTAACTCAATCTTAGGTTTAAAAATATTGCTTAGTAATATCTTCCCCTGTGGATTTGAACAACTCTTGTCCCTCGTTTAAGTTGTTATTTAATCTGCTTCACACACTGACCTAAATTAGGCGTAAAGGTGGGTCATGACAGCCTCCACAATGTGATAAAGATATCAGGCCGACTGACTGAATCCTTTTTTTTACATGTGTGTTTCTTTTTCCTCACATGCGTTATTGTTTAGGCACTTGTTTGTCGGAGTGGCCATGAGCACGCAGACATCTGTATTAGAATAACTTGTTTAATCACATTTTGATAGGCTTTTAGCACGGTGAAATTTAAAATCTAAACGAACTACAGGACAGTCTTCGATAGTTATCTGTAGATATTAAAAACCTTGTCATAACGCACATCAATGCGAAAAAACGTAAAGTTGTGCAGGTTTAATGCTCCTTTAGATTTTAGATCAACTTCAGTCAATAAACGGAGTCATATTCACCATCGAAAAGAAATACTCTCATATTCCACGTTTCATCATTTAATTCCCCAAAATACCGCAGTGACGATTGAATAAGGTTTTTTTCCACTTAAGTTTTCTAGTAGTCCTAATTAGGCTAAAGTGTTTAAAAGGTTACAAAGTTACATTTGGATATGTTCAACTTTAAATCCTCGCTTCACCTGCAGCTTCTAAATCTTTTCATATTCATTTCGACTATAGCCTACTCTCGTTAGGCTATAAAGGAGGGTAAATGGCCTACTCCATATTTTACTTTTTTTTAAATTTTATTTAATTAAACATTCTGAGAAACAAAACTAATTCATGCTGCATATAACGTTTGTTTCACTGATTATGGTCTTTTTTTCTACATTCAAAAATCAGTTAAAATGAGGCCTTCAATTCAACAATTAAAGTAGGCCTATAGTTTTTATTGTTTTGTGTTAGATAAGAGAAATCGAGGAAGATTCAGCCTTTTTTTCTTCAGGTAGAGGTCTTTAAGCTTTATTTACACAATTATACAGGCCTACTTCACAAACACATTTTATACTATATATATATATTTTTTTTTTTTTTTGGGGGGGGGAGAGATTCTATTAGGCATGGAGCTAGATAGAGGCAGTTAACTTGACCATTAAAAAAAAAAACAATTAGCCAAAAAATAATTTAATTTTTTGAAGGCAGTTGAAAAACTTTCCCATTTTCTTAAGTTGAAACACACAGGCCTATGGGCTATAAAGAATCATTTCTCAATGACCCAACTAATGTGAGACTATTTGCCGGAAACTAATTAGATTATTTGTCATCATGAAAGGACTGAGATAATGAGGGAAAACATCGAATTAGCACCTACGTGATTATCCATTTAAACGTACACACATGAACAATAACGTCAAATAAAAGTCAAATAAAGTGCTGTTTATGCTCCTCGCAGAACCAAGATACTTTTTCTTGTCATTAAAATCTACAGCAAAACCACTTTGTTGAATCAGATCCAGCGACGTGAATGTGCAGTTCGCCTTTCTTAGTGCCTTTATTGCAAATACAACAGGGTCCAAAGTCCATTAGGGTTTTGCTGATAAGGGGAGCCAATAAAAGCAGCATGCAGCAGTGTAAATACATAGCTCTTTGGGCCCAGAGCAGGGCCTTATTCTGCGCATTTACATAAGGCAGCCTGCCCACTCATTATCATGTTTTATATCCCCCTGCACTCACAGAGCATCATGGCAAAGTAGCTCCATCCTCCCCGTCAACAGGGAAGTGAAGCAGCTTCACGGAGCAGGTGTCAGCACCCGAAAACTCCCCAACACACATGAGCAAAGAAGAAGACAGGAACTTTATTTTTTTACCTTTTAATTCATTTATCCCCCCTTTTCCTCCTTTCCCCTTCAAGCAGGCATATGCTGTAGCCTAGTTTTTAATGTTTTCTAAAATGGTATCCAAGCTGACATCCCTGCAGCAGGAGCTCCTCAGCGCCCTGCTTGACTCAGGAGTAACCAAAGATGTCCTGATCCAGGCCCTGGACGATATGGACCCGAGCCCGCCGGGATTTGGAGTTAAATTGGAGAACCTGCCCCTTTCGCCCGTTCCGCCGCAGAGCGGAAAGATGAACGTAGCGGACGCCGCCGACTCCAAACCCGTCTTCCACACGCTCACCAATGGCCACAGCAAGGGCAAACTGTCCGGGGACGAGGGCTCCGAGGACGGGGACGACTACGACACGCCGCCGATACTGAAGGAGCTTCAGTCGCTCAACACGGAGGAGGCCGCCGAGCAGAGGGCGGAAGTGGAGCGCATGTTGGCGTGAGTAAATCCAAATATATGTATTTAGGCAAAGCGCAAAAAAAATGAAGTGAAGTTATCTCCATGACAAGTTGACGGCTGTAAAACTATTTTTTAAATAAGCGTAAACACGCGTCTTATAGGCTACTTTAGCACATTGTAAATGTTTTCATTTTTTAAGTTTTGTCCTAAAGTTTTATTTTTATTATAGGCTATGAAATGCAGACCTTTAAAAACTGGAGCCATACTTTTCTATTCTTTGTTTACAATTTTAAAATTACCCGCCACAGCTCGGTTTTCTCATCTCGTTACAAATTATCCAAATTGATTAGGCGATTATTTATTTACCTTACTTGCAAACCATCAGCTGAACTTAGATCTGTTTATTATAGGCCTCCCACAACGTCTGGGATAAAAGTCTGGCAAAAGTTAGACGAGGGAAAGCAAACTCACGAAACCTTGGTTAAGGATTTAGAACACAAAATTAACATTATAATTATGTATATAATTATATAATAATCATTATATATATTATTCTTTTATTTTATTATTTATTTATTTATTTTATTTTATTTTATAATTTTCTAAAAACAATTTTAGCCAATTAAACATAAACGAACAGTAGCCTATAGCCTATAGCCTATTTTTATTTCAATAGCCTCGGCCTACATGTGTAGGCTACACCGTCATTTAAAAAACGGACATTGTCGCTCTAATCAATTAATAGCTATATAATCATCTACGCTTAGACCACTTGATTCACTGTAAAACTAATATTTGAGGCTCTAACAGGACCGGAAGAAAATCAAAACTAAACCACGTGTAGTTAAGTTATTATTAATTTTATTCTATAAATCATCAACTGAAAGATACACAGTGGCGTGTGATTAGAGTGAATGGAGATCTGGTTATTCATTGTCAAAAGTTATAAACTAACATCTCCCACTTAACCCGCAGACTTAGATGCAGGCCTCCACATTCTCCAAAACAAACAGACGTGTAGAGATTTGCTCTAATTACCGATGTCACAGAGTCTCGGCCTCTATTCTCTGACTGTACGCTTCATTTTATCAACACGTTTTATAGCCTGACTGCTTAAACTATCGACGTAAATTAAAGATTGTGAAGGGGCTAACCTTTAAAGGTAAGATCATACAAGTTTTTAATGATTCATTTTTAAATTAGGTCAGAGTCTGCGTGGAAAAAATGTCATGTTATTTCTTAAAGGTTAAAAAATGACTACAGCTTGACTGATATTTGTCTAACTTTCAGGTTATTAATCTTAATTTTTACAAACATTTGTAAGAGCCTTCGAATCATGATTTGAATATTATAAGTACAGTATGCAGTTTTTATTTATATGGGCTCCAACACCCCCCAAAAAAGACATTAAAAAAAAAGTGTTTTAATGTTTAATGACAGTTCCATCACATGTAGTCTAATACACATACTTTTAAAAAATTGGACAATCATCTTTTTACTTGACTGCTGTCTGAATATTTGTAACATGGCTTTTCGGTCCTGTTTTATTTGGATTTTTCATGGTTCCTACTTTAAATGACTGTTTTCAGGCTGAAGTCCTGTGTTAGGTCGCCAAATACTCCGTGTTTCTCAACCACTTGGACTAATCTCTAAAATATTCACAGCATATATAAGAGAAAAAATGATAAACAGTTTATTCTGAATGGGGACTTACAAATAACAAGTGGAGCTAAATACGTTTTCAAGTGTTAAATAAAATGTATAGAGATGTAAACAAAAGAGCAAAAGTCTCTTAAAGCATTTCCTCATGTATTTGCTTTACTTTAATTGCATAACGGGGACAAAATAAGCATTTATTTCAGCTGTAAAATGTGTGTAAAGGTTAGGCTTCCACTTTACTACTCTCCTGTTGAAACTGCGCGAAGTCCAGCAGTGAAATGATTGGTGTTTTCTGCTTTCTTCATCTGAACTCAGAGAGGATCCATGGCGTGCTGCCCGCATGATCAAAGGTTACATGCAGCAGCACAACATCCCCCAACGGGAGGTCGTGGACGTCACAGGGCTGAACCAGTCTCACCTCTCCCAGCACCTCAACAAAGGCACGCCCATGAAAACACAGAAGCGAGCGGCCCTCTACACCTGGTATGTCAGGAAACAGCGGGAAATTCTCCGACGTAAGTTAATATTTGAGTTTCTCACTGCTCGTTCTGACCTGTAGCGTGTAGTTGGCAGCAACATGGAACTTTTATTTGGGTCCAGCTAACCTGCTTAAGTTGTCTTATTCAATTAAAAGCAAAAAATATGATTTATGGATACAAAAAATCACCATCATGTCTCTGGTTTCGATGTCTGTGTGTGTGGTAAATGTTGTATTGAGTGTATCTCTTTTTATTTTTCAGAGTTCAACCAGGCAGTGCAAGGTTCTGGCAGCATTATGACTGACAAAGGCAATCAGGATCAGGTGTTTTTTTTCCCAGAGTTCAACCCTTCCGGTCAGGGCATGGGTCAGCCTGGCGAAGAGGTCGGCAGTGAACCCTCCAGCAAGAAAATGAGACGTAACCGTTTCAAATGGGGCCCTGCGTCCCAGCAAATCCTGTACCAGGCCTATGAGCGGCAGAAGAACCCGAGCAAGGAGGAGCGGGAGGCCTTGGTGGAAGAGTGCAACAGGTAGAAATTCATCACACATTCCCATCACCTTCTTTAAAAAAAATGTTAACCTTACCGTTTAACCCACATTTTCAAACTTTGATTTTCTGCAGAGCTGAGTGTCTTCAGAGAGGGGTCTCCCCCTCCAAAGCGCAGGGCCTCGGCTCCAATCTGGTCACAGAAGTTCGAGTCTACAACTGGTTCGCAAACCGCCGTAAAGAGGAAGCTTTCAGGCAGAAGTTAGCCATGGATGCCATCACTGCTCCGCCCCACAGCCTCAACTCTCTGCTGTCACACAGCTCGCCGCATCATCCCCAGAACAGCGCTTCACCTCCAAGTAAGACCATGTGACTTTTCTTTGATATATATATATAAGTATCTTGCACCTTCAATTTCCATACTTGCATTGCACAACAAGGGCAGGTAGTTTGGTCGTTAATTCAGGTGGTTTAAAAATCCTGTCAGAGAGCGTTATAGAAGCCCAGCTGATGTGATCAGAGGGGCAGAGAAAGGAGGGACAAGTGATCAATGAGCGTGAGTGAGTGAGCTGAGCAAATGCCATTGTTATTCTGATCTCTGAAAACACACTGAGAACAATCCGCATTGTACCTGCAATCTCCACTCCAAAGTCAGCATGGAGAAGCATGACACAAAGGGCAGCGATCCTGTGACAGGCCAGGGTCAGGCCAGGGTCGGGGAGGGGGGACAGACACATCCAGATCAGCTTGATGTAACGCTGTCATTTCCACATTTCCCTTCACCCACGGAGGTTGCTAATGACTCCTCTCAGAGAGTTGCCAAAACAAGGAAACACTCTGCGTTATAGCTGTGACCATTTCACCCTGACCTGATGTTTGCATTTGGAGTAATTAGTATTTACTGAGTCTACCTGGTGTATACGACATAAAAACAAAGCTGATAGGCCTCACAGAGCATTATCCTCCTCACCATCACTCAACTGCCATAAAACTGTGATTTGAGAGCCTATTGTTGTTCTCTCGTGTTCGGACATGAGGCGAGCTTTGAAGGGAAAACAAACTGTTTGCCTTGGCTTGCTCTTTTACCTTTGGATAAACTGGTCCCACTTGTGGATTGCCTGTTTGCTTTTTTTTTTTTTGTTGCCCAGAACACCTGACCAGGCATTGACCTCAGGTTGGAAAGCCAAAGGGGTCAGTGATAAGGTTACAGAAGGGAAGGGTCGATGCTGCCCCCCCCCCCCCCCCTCCTCCTCAGCTGGCTGCTTACAAGGTGTCCTGCTGGCATCCTGCCGACAGCATCAGCTGTTTTTCAGTGTCAGCCCCCAGTCAGACAATAATATCCCTGCGGGGCGTCTCATTGCGTTGCTAGGGCACGGCCTGTATTATGCATGCTTAATGGACAATTAAAATCCTTTGCTGCTACATCTCCCAGGCCTTTGATAAGGGGCTCCTCTGACTTCTCCTCTCTATACTCCTGCTCAGCAGGATGCCCTATTGTCTGTGGTGTATTAGAAGACTGCAGTGACTGTAACCTAGGTTCATTTATCTCTGCTGGGCCTTGAGGAGGACTGAGTTTAAAGCCTCCCCCGTCACCTTTATGGGCTTAAGTATGGTTGCTGAGGCTGGGTGCAGACTTGGAGCAGCAGGAGCTGTCCACTGAGGTATTGGCTCTTTTCTGGCCAGACAGAACTGATGACCCCTTCTTTGCCTACAGAGAATAAGAGTATCCCCCCCCCCCCCCCTCCCCTTCCTCCTCCTTATACCGCCGCCGCACCTTCAGTCATACGAGAGAGGGTCACTGCTGGGTCAGATAAAATAAACTCTTTTTACTTTGGGAGTTTTTATTGATTTGGTTTTGGTCAGTTGGCCAGCCAGTCACAAATGAATGGACTGTAACGTCCAGTTTTTGAAGTTACTTTTTTTTCCATTTTAGAAATGAAACTGATCTCAGGCAGATTACAGTCTTTGAGGCCTATGTCAGCATGCAGCTGTGTTTTCCTACACAATATTTACCTACTTTCATCCTCTAATAACGCCATTCTAACTCAAGTAATCCATCTCTTTTATGACATTTTACTGGAAGCTTCACCTGACTTCAGTAATGTTATTTTTTCTTTCTGTGCCATTGAATATTTACGAAATGCTAGGGACTCACCTTCATGGGTTCATGTAACTATATGTTTGCTGCTACATTTTAGGGGAAAACTTTTGCAACGCTAAGACTTGTTATGATATTTTATAGAAAAAAAGTGTTACAAGATTAAAGCGCTGATAAGGACATTGTGATAATTCCAATCCATTTTGCTTATAAAAAATTAAAGTTAATTTTTATTTATCTTACAGATTTTAGCATTTTAAGAAACTCTGAAATTTCTGTCTTGAATGTAATACAAAACTTGTTCAAGGCCCAAAAAGATGATACACCTACACATTTCACACAGCACAGATCACAGGATGAATAATCCACATATATAATACAACTTTTTTGCACAGGAATACTCCTTTCATCAGTCTTCACTTTTTGCAGTTGGGTCCACCATGTCATTGAATCATTGCTGTGTAAGCTGAGCTACTTCCTTCGCACATCGCAAATTTTCGCAGACTCAGAAGTTCCAGATCGGATACAGTGGTAGGAGGCTTTATCTGTGGATGGCATCACCCCAGGCCAACTAGGAAACAACACACAAACACAGACAGAAAAGATGGCTTAGCTCTGCACTTTCCTTAGTCCTGTGTCTCCAAGAGAGCCACAAAGAAGAGACTGGATACGTCCTGCAGAGTCCCAGGAGGTCTGTTATATGCAGTGGTACTACAATGAGCACTGCCTGGGGTTGGAAAGGCATGCTTTGATATTACATGGGTCACACACAGAGCAAGAGCCTTTTAAACCTGTTGAAGATCCTTGCTACCACTCCCCTTCTGAAGTTCTCACCCTCCCCCTGCTCTCCAAAAAAATGGTCACCATACCAGTGTCTTATATGTAGTTCTTATAGGTCCCTTCTTGCAGGAGTAAATATTTAAAGAACCTCAAAATAAAATCCTCTTATTTCCAGCTGTAGAAGATACAATAGGTAGAAGCCATATCTCAACTAAATAAATCTCAAATGTAAACATGCTCTGTTGCTTTCAAGAAACTCAAAGTTTATATCTTGGAAATCGTCCTTGCTTACTCCGAGGTTCCCTGCAGTTAGAATTACTGCCGGATCCAAAGAAGCCGTCCTTAATAGCATCTTTCCTCCCTCGGACTCTTTAAGAAGTTGATCAGCACCAAGTTAACTGCCTCTTTATGAGACCACTTCTATTGTGAGGCAATGGGGGTCATGAGTCCAATGGAGTGCTTTATTGTTCTGTGGAAGTATTTACAAGGCATAGTGCAGTGTTGAAATGTTGCTACTATGTCACAGCAGACAATTTGAAGTCTGTGTGCTAAGCAAAATGGAGGACAGGGACTTTTAAGGATGAAATATGACATTGTGACTGTGCTAACATTAGCATAACGACGCTGTTGCAGGAGGCGACAGCTGATCCAGTTTTTGTCCAACAACCAAATAAAAGTTAGCTTCCTGTTTAGTGCCCATTAGGGTATCATTGTTGCTGGACAGCAAATAAACACAAGTCCACAGACAATTTATGCTTTTGCTAATATGTTAAAATGTTCACACTCAACAATTCAATCTACAAAAACATCCTGTTGCAGCTTCTATCAGTGACAAGAAATCAATGCCCTCCTCATTGGTCATGTTCAGTGTCAGTGCCTCTCCCTCTTTTTTTATCTACAAAAAGGCTCTATATCAATGCTGCTGATACCGTCATGTCTGAGCGGCTTCAGCAGGGTGTTCAAGCTGTCTCACCTGGGTCAGGGACGTAGGGCGCTCTGGGCGAAGATGGGAGATTTCAGAGCAAACAGAGTCTGTCTCTACACTGTCACTGACGTGGGGGGCTTTGTGTCTGTGTGAGGCTGAGACCACAGGATAAGAATGTGTTTGACATTGTTTGTAATTGTGTAATGTTTACTTTGTTGGTATCAGAGCGGGCCTGCATCAGCAAACAGGCATTTGATTGTCGGTTGTGGTCAGGTGAAACATTCCTTTGGGCCTCCAGCGGGAGACGACAAGAAGTCTAGAGACAGGATTAAGCGATGGTCCTAAAAGACACATTTTATTTTCATTGCAATTTAACACTATTAATTTAACAAGTAATCACTGTTTTTTTTTATTATTGTTTAGGTTTTTTAATTTCATGCAATTGTATACTTCTAAATGATAGAGGCAGCTGTTATACTCGTCCTTCAGTGCTTCAGCTGGCGTCTTTTGTTTTTAATAGTAGTTAATACATTTACATTTTGTACAAATTTATTTTTGTATAAAAAAAATAGGATAAGCTTACAGATTTCACTTGTTGATTTTAATGCCCAGGAGGCAAAGAAAGTCAAATTTGACAAAAAAAAACAAACAATGGTTTCAAGAAAAGTCAAAAAGAAAAAGGAAAAATAATTATTTTTAATTTTCTTGTGGCCACTTGAAGGGAATGACCCCCTGATTTGAAACAACAGGACAAAACGACTTTAATGTAGTAGTAGTAGTAGTAGTTGTATAAGTGTAGTAGTTAAGACTAGATCCAGCTTAAGAGTTATAACAATAAAATGCAACCAAATACACCACTACAATATTTAATATTAATCACTCACAGGGGCCATTTTTTGCAGATTGAGCACTTTTACAATTGCTTCAGGTACATTTTGTTGGTATGATTTTGAATGCAGGACTTGTGTGAGAGAGTGTCGAGATGTTTTTGAGGTGATTTTAAATGACAAACACAGATGGCTGTAGACTTTCTGACTAATATAAATTTCCTTGTGATTGATTTAGTCAATTTCTTGCTGTATTACTTTTTTTCTTTCCACATATTTTTAATGTATCATATACTTTGTATATATACTATATTTGTAAACCATTTAATTATTTGTATGTACGGCTGCTCATTGTCTGAAGCTTTGTTAGCTGTGCTGTTGCCTTCCTTGGCCAGGAGACTCTTTTATTGATTTTTAATCTGAGTAAGGTTTCCTCTGGTTTATAAAAAAGGTTAAATAAAAATGAAAAGATCAGGGTACTTCGCCAAAGACTGGCTGAAACGTAACACTGAAGATGTGAACGACAAGGGGACTGATCAGAGACTGTGATGTGAGTTCTGCTGTAGTGAGTGCGTGTACACATTGCATGGCCTTGGCTGAGCTGCACAGATAGCGCGAGCACCAGCAGCAGGAACATGCCGGTGTATTTGTTTGTTCTTGTCCTCTGTCGTCTGAGTCAAAGAGCAGGTGAGTTGGTTGGGTGGAGTAACTGCGGTGTAGCTCAGCGCAGAACGAGGCCGACCCTGCTATCTCTCTGCCCTACATAACTGTCAGCAGCTGTGAGCAGAACAAATGAAAACTAACTCATCTGTTTTTCTCCCTTAGTGCGATACAGCCAAGGCCCCGGTGAGGTCACCTCCTCCACGACCATCAGTCACCACAGCAGCAACTCCATGCCGAGCAGCCAGTCAGTGCTCCAGCAGGTGTCTCCGGGAGGATTGGACCACAGCCACAGCCACAGTCTGCTGTCACCTGACACCAAGATGGTGAGTGAACAGACCTGGGCCCTCACAGCTTCAGATAAGATAACACCTGGCCTGAGTTTAGCATACATGTAAAAAAGCAAGTTCCTGAACCTCTGCTCTCCCATGGACCCACTGGCAGCAGCCAACAATTAGCACATTGTGCTGCTCTGTTTGGAAGGTGGGTTGGGGGTGGCAGGCTATGACGGCTACACCAGAAAGCACCGAGCGTGTTCATCGCTCAGCCAATAAACCTGACAAAGAAACATTCTGCTGGTATTGATTAAATGCCTCACAGAGAACAGACACAGATGGAGCGCTGCTTTTTCAGCCAGAAATGACGCCAACATTTGATTATACTCGATGTTCTTTTTCAGTCTACTTCAGAGTTTCTCCTCTCTGCCCTAGTCCAATATTTGATCAGTGACAAGGAAACCTGTGTATGGCCCTGAAGCATTTCTGATGAAGCAACACTACTTTATATGTAATAAGTATGATACACAATATTCAACCCATAATACTACCAACAAACCCTGACAGCATACCTCACAGGTCAGTAATTCTACCCTACTATACAGTTTCTCATTACTTAGTTAATTATTTTTTTCTTATGACACCCACATATCTGTTTCCTTTTAGTGCTTTTAAAAGAGGACACCAGTATTAAATACTGTTAGGCATGAGTCCTAATTTAACGACCATCAGGAAAAGTTGGGACTTGTTCTCAGTCGGTTTGTTGGAGACGAAAAAAGCAGACACAGATTTTCACAAGTTTATTAGACAACACAAGATGCAAATGTTCTCAAATACAACGTCCTTGAATAATTATAGCATTTTTCTTTAGATACAATTTAACAACGCAGGGAACAAAATCAGTTAATGATTTGAGTTGATGTTTTCTTTCCAATAGTCGACTATTCCACTTGGATGCTCGTATACGGATTAAAATCACTTATCCTGTTCAGGGTTAGATAAATATAAAGTCATTCAACTGAAATATTCAAAGCTGCCGACTTACTTCCCTGTCGGATCAGGTCACTTCTGCGTTTTGGAGGGTTATGTTACATGAAATGACCACACTGTAGCAGAGCAGCAGGTCTTATCTGCAGATGTTTGTCCGTCCGTCCGTTCTCTCCTCTGTGGGGAGTCGGCTGTAGTCAAATAGACAAAGCCCAACAGAGTGGGAGGCCCCCAGATAAACACTATGGTGCATGGAGTATTGTTGTCATTTAGCAAAAATGCACCGAAGCATTTGAAAAGAGAACATGCAGACACACGTGCTCCACAAACTAATGCACATGCTCTTTTTTTTTTTTGCTGCTGACAGTTTTAGGTTTTTCCTTCCCCATATTGTCTCTTATCAGAGTTTGCTTGTGTGTTTTCTATGAGTGGAGTTACACAAGCAAAGTGTTATACAAAGAATCTGAACTAAGTCAATATTTAGCTCTGCTTTTTCTTTAGCAGCATGACTACATCTGTCTCACTTTGAAATACAATGATATGATTTTACATAACAGAAACTCAAGCTCAGATCCTGTGTTTGAGTGTTTTAGGCTGTAGTGAAAACATTTTACATTTATTTATCTTTTTTTTTGCTTTCTTCTTTGTCACCTCTAGATTTCAGGTTCAGGTGGAGGACTTCCTCCAGTTAGCACGCTGACAAACATCCACAGTTCCCATCACAGCCATCAGCAGACGCAGAACCTCATCATGCCTCTGTCTGGAGTCATGGCCATAGCACAGAGTGAGTTCTGCTCAGTTCCTCCACCAGACCAGCACTGAAAAGAAGTAAAAGTCATGGGATATAATGCATCATGACATGGTTTGACTGAGTTTTTTTCTTCTTAACAGGTTTAAACACGTCACAATCTCAGTCGGTACCAGTGATCAACAGCGTGGCGGGCAGCCTTGCAGCGCTGCAGCCGGTGCAGTTTTCACAGCAGCTCCACAGCCCCCACCAGCAGAGCCTGATGCAGCATTCCCCCAGCCACATGAGCCAGCAGCCCTTCATGGCTACTGTCACACACTCGCACAGTCAGTTACTCTCATTTTTACTCTTGTTTGTACATCCTTACAAAGTATGTGTTCAATGTTTTCGTCACACGTTTAATATGTAACATGAACTGTCAAACGAAAAAGAACATTTAATATTTAAATGGTTAAAACATTGTTGTATTTAACCTCAGTTTGCTGTACAGTACAGCCTGGTTAGACTTGGAATTGTATATATTTGTTTTTTCATTGGCAAAAGCTGTTATTGCTCAATATGTGACAACTTTCCAAATCCCCTTTTAAACAGCCAACCTACAATAAATACCAACCACATGAAAAAAATTAAACCCAGATTTTTATCATGGTGCAGATTTGGCTCTGTTGGTCACAAACATTTAATGTTTCTTGCAGCGTTGCTATAACGACCAGCTTAAGATCCTGTGTACACACAGGTTGTACTATCCGTGTCCACATTGGAAAACAGAGTCCAGGGAATAACTTGGTACCTATTGCCCCCATTGTATGAAAAGTATTTTTTCCAGGCAAAGAAATGTAACACTTCCCTTTTTGCAGCATTTGCAACTGCAGAAGAAAGCACAGTTTTTCAGCCTGATATCGCAGTGTTTTCGTATAAATTAATGTACGAGCTGAAACATAACCATCTTTGTCTTCTTCCTTTGCAGTGTATTCACACAAACAAGAGCCACCGCAATATTCCCACCCGTCACGTTTCCCCTCAGCCATGGTGGTCACAGACGCAAACAGCCTCAGCACCCTCAGCTCAATGTCCTCAAGCAAGACAGTGAGTGTTAAACCATCATGTCACAGTTTGATGCATGTTCTCACTTTTGTCTACCTGCCACCGTGGGTTTAAATACAAACAAAAAACCTGAAAAATCAGTAAGGGGGCACTTGCTTAAGAATTAGCAGAACATTTAAGGAGTTTGTGTTGGATTGTGCATGATCACTTACATCAAATCTCACGATAACACATAGATCAGCTCATTGGTATCTATTGATTCACAAAAATCACCCTCACCCTGCTCTCTAAAAACAACAACACACATTCAAGGCACAAACTAACAGCAGGATATAGATGACCGATACTGTGACCGGGAGAAGTGTGTGTATAGTGTGTGTAATGATTGTGTGTTTAATTCCTGTCACATTAGGACGCTCCTGTAAACAAGATGGTGCAACTCGGGGGTCTCTCCTGGGTAAATACAATTTCATCAGTTCAGTCACGTAATAAAATTAGTAAAAAAAATCACCATTGACAAAAATCACAGTATAGGTTATTTTATGTTTGAGAGCTTTTGTCTTGGGCTGCAGCAGATGTTTTATTATTATGTTTTTATTTAGCTCTAAACTAACGAACGAGGCAGATATTTGGATTGTGCACTCCTCAAAATCGTATTTCCTCTTAAACAGCCGTCTAATCAATCACCTGATCCCTCAGCCTGAACGCCTCTTGATTAATGTTGCCTTCTCGCACCGTCCCCCTTACCTCTGCGATGAGGAAATGAGCCTCGCTGTTAATCAGAGTTCTCAAACCACGTGTCCTCCATGCTATAAGATCAATCCAGTGAGGCTGGAGATGAGAAAGGCTGGGAGGGGTAAACTAATTACACCTCTTCCTCTTTCCTACGTCTCCCTTGCTCACAGTGATCGCTCTAGCCTGAAATGTTGTCCACTGTGCTTTCACACGCTCAATTTCCCACGCTGAGGCCGAGCGCTCACACTGCTCCGCCGCTTTTGGCACACTGATGGGTTGATGGGATGAAAGCTCAGAGTAGAGGGTGTCTTAATGAAAAATGAGTAAAAAAAAAATAAATTCTCAGAGGCTATAAAAAAGGAGCATTTTGGACAGCTTTTTACTGAAACATTTTTGGAAGAACAATTTTATTTTGCACTTGAATTCAAAGTCTAAAAGTTACTTTAGAATTACATTTTTTACATATAAGAAAAGATGAGAAAACCATCAGCCAGAAAAGTTTGGTTTAGTGACTCTTTATTGTCAATTAACTATAATACCAATTAATCAATCAAACTCTATTGAATCTCTAAACTTAGATTGGCTTCTTAAGCTTCAACCAGGTTGTCTTCCCATGATTACCAAACATGTCAAACAACCTGTCACAGCGTTGTGCTTGTGAAACACCTCGATAGTTTGATATTTGAAGTATTTCCAGCCTAACACACAAAATTATCCCAACAGAGTCAGTAATACAAAAACTTATACCACGTATAAAAACACATTTCTTATTTATGGTAACATTCTCTAGAAATATGTCAATACTACTCAATGAGGTACTACAGTGTCACACAAAGGAGAGGTTTTAATATTTGATTCACCGTCAATATAACAACCTGAAAAATGGTAATTGATGTAAACTTAAGATGATTGTAAGTGATGACTTTTATCAGGTTTCATCTCTAACAATGCGCTATAGAAGGCAAGGATTATTGTGTCTGTACATTTCTCTGTTGATGTTTTTATGGATTCATTTATTCACTTTTGAGTATTTAAAAAATTAGAAAACCATTGAAGCATCCAAGGTTCTTTCCTTTTGTCTGACCAGGACCAAAAAGTTTGACCTACTACAAAGTAAGACCGAATATAAGCAGCAAATGTTTGCTTTTAACAGCTTATGTTTTTAACTACGATTGAAGGAACTCCACTGCACACTTAAACAATGCATCTAGTTCATCCAATGTATCTGTGATGTCCATGCCAAATAAAGTCTATCTATCAATAACTCCACAGACATTTTAAAGGATACGTTTTAGTATAGTAAACAGAGTAAAAAGTATCAAGTAGTATACAATAAAATGACCTGTTGAACCTGAGTAGATGTACCAAAGGTTTCTACACAACACTAGCATCATCAGCATGTTACAGACTCGGTTATTTAGAGCAGGTTCTTTCTTATCAGGACTTTATTTGGATGGGACAGCCTTGTTCTCATGACTTGACCGGCGTGTTCAGGCTTTATAACACTCAGTGTTTACAGAGAAACCCTCCATTATACCTGAGTCTGATCCTAACTCACCTCTGCTCTTGGCCTGCGTCTAATGACTCAGGACTTAGCTCGGGTCAGCTTTATCAGGTGAAACTGTTTGTTGGCCGCAGGGTCACACCGGGGTCACCTGCCTCCACCCAAAGAGACGCAGGAGAAAAATAAATTCCACAAACAAATCTAAAAACAAAAGTAAAGACAGAGAGCTTTTCAAAGGGCACAAGCTTCAAGGAGTCAGGGGAAGAGGAATGAGGAATGTATTTGGTCAGGTGTGTCACCTGAAGGTGTTTACCAGTGGTGAAAAAAGTATACAGATCCATTAGGGTAGGTGGCAAAGCTTAAATATAAAGGTGAGGAATTAAAGCCAGGCACACAAAACAAAGAAACAGAAATGTTCATTATAGATAATGATCCCTTTTCCTTGTTAGTTCTCATATTTCTTTATATTTACTACTGATGTGAGCAGCATGTATTTAGTGGTTAATCAAGGTTTAGATTAATTGATTTATTTCATATAAAGGTATACAAATATTAGCCAGAAATGTACTTAAAGTAAAAAGAATACTGTTGTATAATAATGTTGATATTATGTACAAAGTGTACAAAAAGTTGTATAACATGTAATAATCACATGGATTATGATTTGCATAATACAGCGTTAATCCATAATAAACAGCAACAATAGTTTTTGATTAAAATAGTAAAGTGGAGTACAAGTTTCAAAAAGCAACATACAGAAAAACGTAATAAAGAACCTCAAAATGTACTTTAGGAGAAGATTTGCCTTAGAACCACAGGTTCGCACAGTACATTACGTTTTGTAATGATGAACATTGTTCTGTATTATTTTACTTGGCAGATTGTATATAGCCCATATACTTTAATGTATCCCAAAACCTTCTTTGTCTAAAATATTCTCTCTTCTCCTCCTTTCAGTGTCCTCTTCAAGCCTGGTGAGAGTAAGCGCCTGACTTCCCCGGTGCCGGGCAACCTGAGCACATTTTTCCACCCTCTTGCCGCTGTTACCATGACAACTCTTAATAACGGGCAGAGGCACAAGGTCGATGAGGAGTCAGTCAACAAAACTAACGGGAGGAAAGACGACGTTGGGCCGGGTGGTAAAAATAAGAACATGAGGAAGTAGACAAAAGAAAAAACTGGACTCACTGGAGCCCACCTCTGTGACACACAAATGATCAACAAGGATGTATGATTTTAACACAATCTGTGAAAACAGTATTCAGTTTTTTTTTAACGCCCATTTTCAATAAAGAGACTTCACAAAAGGAACAAAAACCAACCGCCCCCAAAAAACTCATGAACTGAGAGGCTCTGGGAAACTGACACTTTGATTTCAAGTGGAAATATGAAGACTTGTTGAATCTAAAAGAGACACTAATCAGCCTCTGCGAAGGCTTAAAGACTAAATGAAGTAAGTTCCTGCATGCTGTCATTAACGGCAACACAAGAATGCCAGGAGCAGAACTGTCTGACAATCACCTGTTTTGATCTTGTGCATTGGCTTTATAGGAGTCTTCCATGTTATTCTTTCACTCTCAGTTTACTGTGCCAGCATTGGCGCAGATGTTCTATGTGTATACTGTGATTGAAGAGACTTTGACAATCTTGAAAGGACCATGCGATGGGTCTGTTTGCGTATGCAATGCTTTTTGTTTTTTTTACTAGATTCTGCACACTTGAGACTGGAAAAGAATATGCACTATCTATAAAATGGAGTTTCTGTTGTGAAAAGCTGCCTGTAACATAAGAAAAACACAGATTGATGTGTTTATGTGTGACAAATATGCCAAAGAATAAGAGTGTAGCTGAGTGTAGGATTTATTTGTGGTCACGTCTCAAAAATCAGCCAGTCGTATCTATAACCCAGGTCTGCCCTGAGGGGGAGGACTGACTCACACACTTTAAACGTGGCCCTTCCCTTCCACTTTGTTTGCATACAAGTTCAGGTGAATTTCAGGAATGGGACTCACCCTCCTCCTTCCTCTCCCATTTCCTACTGCAATATGAAGAAATAGCAAAAATTTTTACAAATATTGATAAAAGCTCCTTGTCACAAAGCACCCCTACAGTATACAATGAAAATATTGACAGGTATTCAGAAACAAAACAGTCATGTCGCTCTGGTATTCAGTGAAAGACAGGGACATGAAAGAGCAAAATGTTGTGACAGCAGCAGCTCTAATCAAACAGGAATCCAAAAAGGCTGAGAAATGTCGGGAGAGGGGCAGCTGCTGTGGGTACAGACACCCACGCTTACAGTGCCAAGCTGTGTTAGGAGGACAGAACACAAAGCCAATGCTGGCCTGGACTCATACGTGGGAATCTGACTGTTGGTCCACTGAAAAAGAAAAAGATGTCGGCTTTATGCTAACTAGCATAAAGCTAACGAACACACCAGCATTGTCTGTACTGGGAGTGAGTTTGTGTTCAGATCACCCATTTAGTGAACCCCCCCCAACATTTGGAAATTAGACCGCTGGACTGCAAAATATAAAACCTTAGCTGTGTGCTATCCTCTTCTCCGATAGCGTCTCAGTCGAACTATCTGCATGATAACGGGAAAGGAGAAGATATGCAACCAAATTTGACACCAAAAAGGACACATTTACAAATTTGTACAAAACAAAATGGTAGTTTATAACCATAAAACCCTCTGTTATAAGTGTGGCAGGTCCAGTCTCCTGTTCAATATTAGGTCATTGTTATCATTTTGATTGGTTGGTGTCTGTTATAGCCACGTCGACTGCCAACTGATCGGAGGGCACTCATACTTTTGTGACAGGATTGATGATTTTTTTTCCCTCTCCTAATGTATTATTTTTGTACAAAGTGAAATCAATCATAAATCATTATTTATACTTTCTGAGAAAATATTGATATTTCAAGTAAAAGTTTTTTTTTTCCAAAAATGGATACATTGTTTTGTTTATTTAATTTGTTTAATAGAGAGATTACTTGTCTTTTTATTGTCTTCAAAAAAATGTTGTGATGTTTCTGTGTGATAATTAGACAGCCAGATAGAAAGTGAACATAACATCCAGACATGGTCAGAGCATCATTCAGTTCAGCCTCATCTGATACTGACAAAGAGCCCACTGTTGAAAACATAGGTGTGTCAACATAGTTGTTTTATGACAAGATTTCACAGCAGGGTCATGTTTAAATCAAGTCAATTGAAGTTTATTTTTTAGCAGTATCATGTAGCTATACACCTTCATTCCTTAATAACTGAGCATGCAAATTCAGGAGGTACCCTATGTGAGTGATCCAGGGGGCGTATTTTTTACCCATCATGCCAAATCTTTTATATAGTATGTTAAAAATTTAAATTTCTATATGAAGTACTTGTACATTGGATTTGGTAGAACTATGTTTTTTACAATAGGTACAATAGTCAATAGTAAGTAATTGTATTTCATCAGCACGTTCTTTAAAAGACTCTTCTGCCCTCTTTGCTTCAGCCAGACCATACCACTATTATCTAGATTGTTGTCCATCAATCTGTCATTTTAGCTTCTAAATGCTGGCTTTAATGTGCTTTTAAATGAAAACATTGATTATAGTTCCTTTAAAAAACAATATTGAAAATTAAATCTTTCAGCATTTTTCAGAAATGACAAGAACTGTAGCATTTTTAAAAAAACATTCCAAACGTTTTAAAACACTAACAGGGTTGTGATTTACATTGTTTGGTAATGGCCTGACCCTTGCTTTACAGGCTGTGTTGACCCTGTGTTTATTTCACGGAGTCCTGCTGAGGACAGCCTGTAATCCACTGATGTTGCTCCATTTGCTTTTCAATGAGGCCTTTGATTTTCAGACCCAGGAAGCCTCTAAAGATCTAACCCGGTCTCTTTGACTCTTTTTACTAAAAGAAACTGAAATACTGGGAGGCTCATTAGCATCTGTTTGAGTTTGAAATACAACACTGAACTTTCTAAACATGACATTTAATTCAGCTTTGAAGAGGGTTTGAATTTAAGATTGATTCATTTGCAGCTGCGTTTAGAAATGTACTGAAGAATGTTCTGGCTGCAAATTAAAGTTACGTTTGCTCAACAGCTAACACTAAAGCATCAAGGTAACTGCATTAGTCATGTTTTGTTTGCCTGATCAGGAGATGAAGGCAGAAAATATCAGTAAAAATAATGAATCCAGAACATCAGAATACGGGGGTCTTGATTTACTGATTTTATATCCTTATCCCACAATCTACAGCTATTATTTATGAAACTCATTCAACAGACAACTATTTCATATATGACACACTCTGATTATTACAACAGCATGAAGATAAAATTATAAGCACACCTTCCTATTGAAATTAATCAATCCAAAGTATTTCATGTTTCCAATTCATCCATTCTTTATTATGTTTCATCAAGGGGCATCATGCTGCCAGAGTGCAACATTGGTTAACCTGAACATGAGACTGGCACCCTCACAAATGTGAAGTCCAACACGGAGCACAAAAAGGATGATGTATAGAGGCTGTCAGGCCAAAACTCAATCTACCAGGAAAATCCCCCCCCCCCCCCCCCCCGACTGATGACCTCATCAGTCGTGAACCTTTTTTTTTTTACTTTAAATTCCCAACTTTATATAAATACAACACCAGCTATTCACCCTTATCTTGAATTTCACCCTTGTAGCACATTGTATGTAATATCGATTTATAATACCTTATTTTTCCACAAATATTTGAAGCATAGTTAAACATTCGTTCTCTTTGACAGCTACACACTCTCAACAACAAAGTGAAACATCAGACAAATTATTAGACCAGACAGAATCAATTAATAGAACTAAACAAGGTGAAATCTTGGTAAGAATATTCATTGTCAGCCGGCAATGGTTTAAATTGATTATGAGTGTCCATATGATGCAACAGTTCCTCGGGAGGACACATCTGTGTGGTAATGATGGACCAGTAGAGGTCGAGGGCTGGTGGGGTCACCAGTTGAGCAAGTGGACACCCGGGGATCAGAGGAGAGCAAAGAGACAGAAAGTGGAGGCTGCGTGCCTTGTGCTAAGCTAATGTGGCCATGTGTTTAGCAGAGCCAGAAGAAAGGACACTACATCAACTCCAGCTGAGGCCCAAGGGGTTAATTGATAGGACTACCCAGCAGGGGCTAAGGGTCAGGAGGCCACTCTCTGCCAGGGCTAATTGGTCACTGCGACCACAGTTAACGCCAACCTCTCTCTGGAGAAATTCATACACATGTATGGAGCAGCTCTGACGGGCTGATCAACGACACCTCTATTGAGCCTCTGCACAGTCATGGAGATTAGTCAGGCTTCACCGTACATCGCCAGCAGCACCACCTACGGTGACAGCCAGGCTGCACTCGAGAAGTGATCAGTAGCTTTTGATCTCTTAGTTAAATTCAACTCATTATTTTAGCTGCATAATGAAGATGAGATACATGTTGAGTTTTTTTTTACTAAAAGTATATCAACAGTATTTTTGAAAAGTTAGCTATAGTTAGAAAGTAAATAAAATGAAATTCTTAAAGCAAAAGTCTACACAGCAATATACATAGGAATGCATTTCAGTGCATTAAGGGCAGGGATGGAACTCTTGATTTGAAGATGAAGTAAAAGCAATCAGGACAATAGAAAGCAGCATACAGCAGAAAGTTAAAATCATGATTGGGGATTTTTATTTAGTGAATAAAATAACTGACTGTGTGAGGCCTACCTTTTCATATAGAAAAATAATTAAATAAATAGTGAAGAACTGATCTCCTCTTATGTCTTTGAATTCTTCTGCATTGACTCAAACTGTGATAGATCTCATAGACTCTAGGAGCCTCTCATGTATGTGAAGACAGACACAGCCTTTAGTAATCTTTTTAATATTTAAATAGTGAGAGGGAATCGTGCAATAAGAGCACCTGCTGATGCTGGATCTGTAATTTGTATTTTACCTGTAGGAAATCTTCTAACATCTACAAATGTCAATCTAAATACCAGGACCACATACGACGTTTGAGATGATTCTCTGCAGGGTAAAGCTGCAGACCTGTATTAACCACAAGAGTCTAAATCCACTGCATGCGAGGCTGGAAACCTGTAAAAGCTTCTCATTTAGAAGAATCCTTACAGTTTGATGTTGTCATGCTGATGCTGTCTTGATGCGGGATAGTTAATGATTTATGAGGAGTGGTGGGAAGCCCAGAATGGGACCTGGGTTAATGTTCACCACCTCTCTTGGGGGTCTGCCCACGGCCGAACAGATCCAAACCCCATGACCAGCTGACTGACTGAGTCGGCCGGCCTCCAGCTAAACAGGACCAGCACAGCAGGGAGGGGGCTGTGCTTTACTCAGAGACCTGTGAATGGACTCAGAGACAAGGAGGAGAGGTAGGAGACTGATGGGTCTTTATCGTCTTTTTAATGAGGCTCAATTGAAGAGACAATAAGCAGCAGAAATTAAACCAAACACCTGTAATAAGCATACAAACCAGTTTGCAAATGATCACTTGACAAATTGGACTTGCTGGAAGGCTGTTTTCACATTTATTATGCTTAACTAAATCTGGGTGTCATAAGTAATGATCTGATATCCACTTTACACAAGAGAGATTTGGGAACCTGAAACTACAGCACATATTCTGTACACTGAACAATTATGCAAAAAAGGACACAGCTTTTTTATCGTGGGAATTTCAGGAATTTTCAACTGAAGCTTTTGGAAAAATTCACCAGAAATTTCAGGAATTTCCCAAAAAACATTCAGGCATACATTCTGTAACCTTTGAAAACTTTTGCTGGCAGTTTTCAGAAACCCCTGGGATTTTTTTCCCTGAGTTTGGAATTACAGGAGTTTCAGGATGTTTTAAAAAAAACGTTTTAAAACTAGGCTTGTAATTAAATTATACTCTTATTGCCTAATGCGATATGGGAAATTTAAATTCAATTCAAATTGAAATCTCAATCCTGAAAAACTTTCCATTCTCTGCAATAAACACTGCATTCCAGCAGAGGGCACTGTTGAACCTATCAGCAACTTCAAAGACATTGCCAAAGCATAAACAACGTGCGTGGATCGACCTTATGTCATAAATTGTCTGTAGAACCTTTTTTTTTGGCTTTTATCAAAAAGACCTGTACAACACACCCGTTTTGGAGGAGGATCATTCTGTTGGAAAGGTTTTCTTATAACCTTTGGGATAAGAATGCATCAACCAAACACAGCAACTTTAACATACCTCCAAGTTGCTTCTGCACTGATTAAATATTACATATGTGATAAGTCAAGCTCATAACGAGTGATTATGATACTAATATTGAGTAAATTATTCTAACCTTAAATGAAAAAAATGTAACAATCATATAAAACATACCTTTTGTACACTTTCATACACATTCATGTTCAGTGTGCTCAATATGTTTATAATCCTTTGAAGCACTAACTTCAATAAACATTTTGAATTTGAGTATAATTTTGTTTCAGAGTCACTTGGCCACTTTCTACAGATGTCTATCATGTTATAGGAACAACCAATAGGCCTATTTCTTTACTATAAAATGTTAATTATTTAATTTGCTGATTAACTTAAAATATGTTTTGAGATAACAGCTCTCAATTTGCAGCATTAGAAGCATGTGTAGTTAAATTCACATGATCATTGTTTAGCTGTATTTTACGCCACTTGTCCTCCAACGTCTTGTCCTACATTTATACTTGCTGCTTGAAGTCTTGAGGCCTTTGTTTTCATGACAAAGTGTATTGATTGGCAGTTTTATTGTTACACCGACAAAAGGTTGGAGGAACAAGGAGACGCCTCTGTGGTTTTTGTGTTAGCTGGTGAAGTTGTGCAAGATTTACAGCTTAATGAGAGCACTGTAAGGCTGTGGATGACATGAACCAACGCAATCCATTAAATGGTTGGCCCTCAGCCCCTCCTGTACCAGAGTCCATGCCCATGAGAGAAGGATGAATGGAACTGTTTTAGGCTTTAAAGAAACCGGAAACTGAAGAAAAAAAGAATCTGAAATTTTAACAGCAAATGGATTCACAGCTCAATTGTGATTTTTCACTATGAATGCAGGTTATGAAGATGACTTCGATTGTTTTTCTCAGACTTTAGATGTCTTTTTCATTATCTTAAAATAGAATTTGGTTCTCTCACAGTTAGCAGGAAAACTTATTTTTCTGGGAATGGTGGGTCAGAAATTAGACATTTAGAGAGCGCTTTAAATGGAATATTTGCCCTAAAAATCAGATGGAATTTTTCTAAAATGATTTTCAGAAATGCTTGTGACTTTTTCAAAAGATATTTTAAATAAAATATTCTGTACCTATCATCAGGAATATATGGAATTTCTTTCCAAATTGTAGGAACCTTTCATTATGCAGTTTTTTGGGGAAATTCGTGGGGATGTTTCGCATCAGTGACATTTTTGAGTATTACAGGAACATTACAGGAATTTTTTAAGTTGTTTTTTTCTGGAATTCAGAGTTTGGTTGGATTTTTTTTTGGAATTTCTCCTGACTTAGTGTCCAGACAGTTCATAAAACTTTAGGTAAAAATGAAAATAACAAGCAAAAAAAGAGGAACAGATTATATTACAGTTTGAGGAGGTGGAAATATATTGCATAATTACCGGTATTTATATGTCAAAAGAAGAACAATTTGTATGCTTTGAAGGCACAACTTTATTGCAAGAATAAACATAACACAAAACAAGTTAGGAGCACTAATTCTTCAATCTCTAATTCCATTGCAAAGTTTGTGTAATGTGAAAATTGATGGAATCAGTTATCTATAATCACAATAATGATCCAGATAAGATTCAGAACCACCAGCCCTGTCACAATTTACCACCACCACTCAGTACAAATTAATTCACATTGTTTTTTTTGCCAAAAGTAACATTAATTTACAGTAATCCTCCCTCAGCATTTTATGGATTCTGACAGGAAATTGGTTCAAAGAACCAGAATGTGCTGATTCTGGTTCTGCTAATTGGAAACATGTGTTTACTCTTTTCGTCTCGCTTCAGTTATAGATCACTGTGTCTCACCAGGAGCCTTTTGAAAACCCTTCCCACAAAAGCCAGATGACTAAAATTCAAAGGAAAGTCAGCTCTTGTTCCCTCCCATCACTTTCCCATAAACCCAATATTTTAGTGTTAGCACTAAGCAGAGCCATGTGTTCAGTCAGGGCGGTATTACTCTTTGTTCTTAGAGCGGCCATACAGTTACACGATTTATTACTGAATGGTGTGTTCCTGTTTTCATGATACATTTTATAATTATATCTGCCTTCATATGTGAGAATAATTCATAATGACTTGGTTAATTTTGACAAATGATTTACTCTCTCATATGACCAAACTTTTGAAAGAAAACTTTGGTCAAAGGACTTAAGTTTAAGATTTTTTTTTGTATTATATATTTTTTTACTTTTTGAATGAGATGCACAATAAAAGAGGAAAGGCATATTTCTTTGCTATTCGCTAGCTAACGTCATCTGAGCTAGCTATCCCACCAAGTTATAAGGCAGATGATGGCGTGAATTCCTTGAAAAAGGTTAACGTCATATTATGGAGCTAACCTTACTGTTCAGTGAGTTACACATGAGTCCATTGACTCATGCCGTTTAGTTGATATTTTATTAGGGTTTCTACTCATCCATGAACTGGCTCACTTGCATCGTGGCACAGGCTATAGACTCTACTTCTGTGGAAGAAGAAAACGCACAGGTGCTGTTTGTAGCCTTGCAGTGACCTCTGGTGGTTAGCGATTAGCCAACATCACATTAGCTAGCTAGCCTTACCTTACGTTGATTGAGTTTAACAATAAAAGAGGGCAGCCTTAACTTCGTAATGGTTATATTGCCTCGCAAGTTGTTAATTGCTTACATACATTGCTGTATGACAATAGTTAATATAATGAAATGATAATGATCTGTCAGATTCTGAATGCTTGCAGATCAAACATTGAAGTCTGATATAACATTATAAAAGCCTTTTATTCCCCTTCCATGCATGACTCGAAAGGAAAATGCCTGGAGTAAAATGTAGGGAATTCCCTCTGCCGATTGGATTGGTTACCTTTGTAACCGTTGTTACCTGCTTTGCCCTAAAATAAGCTACTGGTATGGATTTGTATTTTTAGGCATCTGCCCCCAAGCCTCAAAGACTAGACTTTGAAGCACGGATTAAGATTTGTCTAACTTTACTCACTTCCCCCACAGGTTTGTGGACTACTTTTCTGAAGTATTAGACTTTGTTTTTTTTTGTCAATGCATGGATATGCCAGTGTCAGTGACTGGAAAACCTGAGGTGACACATTGCAGACAGCCAGCAGCACACGTAATGATCAAAGTTGAACGCCATCACAAATGATTATTTCTTGTATGAAATTTAATTAAAATTGATTGAAATGTATTTTTTGAATGTGATTATAAGCTGAAGACACATTAGCCATTAGAAACTGCAGGTAAACAAATGTAATTGTTGGAGCTCAATGAGCATAACCAAACAGTCTTGCGTTGAATGAAATTGTGTAGCCCTGATTTATGCTAAACACAGAGCATCATTTAATCCTGTTATTTTCTATTTTCTTCTCTACAGATATTAGACTCCAGGGCCCATGTTCTCACACTCCCGTCCAGCTCCAGTTTTTGGCACAGTTCTGATCCTTATGGGGTCAGTGCTGCACAAAAACACAGACAACATGTTTTCATTGGCCTGAACTCAAAGGAGCTGGGAAATGCAACAGCTCAAGTTTAGTTTTTTTGCCAAAAAGATATTGAGACCTCTTGCTTTATCAACTTAACACAGTCTCTGAAGGATTAGAGGGAAAACAGGATTCTTGTCAGAGTGTTGCTTGGGTGGAAGGCTGATATTAGTAACATGTTATCTGGCTGGAGAAAATTGCCTCAGCTTGGAGGCAGATGATGAAAATCACAGAGACAGGAAACAGTTACAACAATCAACCTTCAGCAGTATTAGCCCCTTTGTTTGTCAAACTTTGAGCAGGAACTTGGTGAAAATCTAGAGAAAATTTGAAGAGCCATACCTTTTTCTGCCGTACCTTTTTCTCTTGTTTATGGAAAGTCTTTGGTGAGAATTGTATTTTATTCTACTTATCAGGGAAATAGTACTTCAATTGAGAGTAAGGATTTTGTTTCTTGTTTTAGCCTGTGAGAACCCTGAAACCTTTGTCTTCAATTATAGTCATTTTTGGTTTGTTAGGTTTACTCCTGTTAGCTCTTGGTTCTTTATTGTAAATACAGTCTTGTACCTAGGCTCCCTTAATTTAGGGCAATTTTCTTTTGTTTACCTGTATTTTCCCAAAGTTATGTGACCCATTTTGTATTCCTCTTGACTGAAGTCAAAAGCTTATTACAATGAGTTTACTTAGAGTCTATTTGGTTTTGCCTTTTTTTCCTCTTCTAATTTCTAAGCAATTATTTTTCTTTTAACAAAGAAAGTGGGACAGCTCATTCAGCTGCAGTTTCTTGCAGTGACATTTGCCTTTTTTTTCTGACCACAGCTCACTGAACTCTCTGCGGTTGTTTCTGGGAGATTTTCCCAAACACTGTTATGTAACCATCAAAACATTCCTCCATTTATCATTCTCCTCTTTACTTCCCCATGTCCACCCTCAACCCCTTCTTTCATATTGAGTTTGTCTCTGTTGTATTTCATAGTTGGACATTTCTTTTTTATTTATGCTGGAAAAAAATCAAATACTTTCCTTGGTATCCGCCCTGTTCGCTCTCCTCCACCCTCAGTCGGTACTCTCCCACCCACCCCAGCTTCTAATTGGACTTCATTACCATTTCCTCTCAGTTCTTCCCTGAATTACTCTCGGGCTAGGAGGATCAGCTTCCACTGGATTGTCTATGAAACTCACGGACATTGCACTAAAAGACTTTACCCATCATCATCATCATCATCAGGTAAGTCAGGTTTTGTTTTGTTTTTCTTCCGAGTGAAAGAAAGATGTTCTTCTGTTTTACACAGAGGACATCTGCACATGACACGGTGCAGAGTTGAGATACTATGTTAGCTTCAGACCACCACAGTGCATCACTGTGTACACACCCATATTTTAGCTGGATCACACTGAAAACTTCAAAGCAGATGTAGAAGATGTATTCAGAACCTTCTGATTAAAAGTAGTAATTTCACAGCAAAAGCCCTGCATATTGTGTTGATGTATCTGGAGCTCCTGTGAGTTTTCATTCTATGTAAATAAGTCCAAACATTATTTAAACACATTTAATCGTGTATCTTGAGATCTACAAAGAAAATAACAATCTATGAAGAGAGTTATTGAAACAGCATTTGATTAATTGTATTAATAACTACATTCATTCTTCCTGATTCTATAAAGAAGAGCTGTAACTGCCTCATACGAAGTTACAGCAGACGTGGATAATATCAGTGCACTCCAGCTGGCCTTGAGGCAATATGCCAACATTTTTCTAAATGTCTGCCTTGCTTGTTTCTGTCTTATTAGATATTTGCAACTCAGTCATTCCAAATCACTTGACTACCTAACATTTGAACTTCAATTCAGTGACTGGCTCTAGTCTAGGTATCTTGATAAAAAGGAAATGAAAGACATTCCTGACTGTCTTTTCAAACAGCAGATCATGAACCTACATTTTAAAAAAGTATATATTTATGGTTCATTTGATAGGGACAATATACATAGACAAACTAAAAACAGTAATCCAATGCAAGTATCATAGTGTTATAGTAGATTCTAATTTGCAACACGTGTCCCTAGAAGGGACAGTAAACACAGTTTTTCACATGTTAGTGGTTAACTAACAGTGGATTACATGGTTTCTGGAAACATGCATGTTTGTATTCCTCTGGTAGCAGACAGCTGTTCAGACTCAGCAGTATTTGTCTTCTTGTCTGCTCTCCTCTTCTACCAGGAACGCTGACAGGAGTTTCTGTCTCCCTCTTCCTTTTTCTTCCTCACTGTTTCACTCCCTCTTAAGTCCTCTCCCTCGATCTGTCTTTACTTTCAAGACCTTAAAGTTACAATTTGAAGTTCTATGAAATATTAAAATGTCAACTTATTTTTCCTCATAATAAAGCTAAAACTTAAAAAAAAAAAAAAAAAAAAAACATCTAAAGAGAGGCAACTGTTAAACAGCCAGGGGCTGTTCTGTTCAACTCATCAATCCAGTTTACGGCTCTCAGACGCCACAGCAGTGGAGACAAGCTGCTGTCTTTTGTAATAAAAAAAAAACACTGAGAAAGGAACACATAAATACCAACTGATCTTGATTATGTCGTACTGTCTGAGCAGGGTCAACTAAGGTTGGAAGATCACACACAAGGAAGAAACAGAGAAACACAGGAAGAGATAGATAGAGAGAGAGGGAGAGAGAGAGAGAGAGAGAGAGAGAGAGAGAGAGAGAGAGAACAAAAATTGAGCAAGAATCTTAACCCTAACACAAGTTGTGATTGTGAGTGGATTCTGAGCAGGCAGTCTAGTATTCAGCATGTCATCAAACTTTTATTAGAAAAGCCTGTTTAGAGACCGTCAGTGCCAAGTTTCGCTTTGAGGATATGATTCATCATTATGTCAGAATTTTGATTTATTTTTCTCCTCCTGTACTTAAGAAAAGATTTTGTAAATGCCAAGTGTCACTGAAAGTTGAAGAAATGCATGCTAAAGGAGAAAGAGAGGATGTTTAAATCACATCTTTACTGTTTGTTCCATAACAATGCACTTCTTTCCCTCCATCAGCTCCCACCAAATGTCTTCCCTAAACAGAGTATAGTGGCATCATAACACTAAACCCGTTATTTGAGAGAGCTGAATCACTGGTTGAACCCAAAAAATGAACCCAAAAAATAAACAAAGGCTCCACGTTGGCGTTGTTACAGTCAGTAAAAGTTTGTCCAGGCTTGTCTTCAAATTGTTTTAATGCTGTTAGATTTTCTTAAAGGGTCTGCTTTACTTGAAAAGGACACAAAACGTCATCCATTCTAAATTGCTCATTATTACCTGACAGTTTTGGCAGATATGTGACATCCAATGAAATATGTCGACTCAGTAATAAGGATGTTTGGTTTTTATTACTTCCAATAAACGTTTCTGTGTTTTTAATCAGCCAAATTGAGATGCCAGTTTTGGCAATAATTGCAAGCAAAGCTCGATTCATCACTCCAACATTTCATTACCCAGACTAATGTGTCATGCAGCCTATCCTCAACCAATTATGGTCAAATGTTATAACAGGGCTGCCTGAGAGGAAGAATAGTCCTTACAATAATTCTACAGCACCCCGTTGACTAAAACTTGCAACTGTTTTTTGATTGAAATAATACTTGAAGTGCCAATATCATGTTGTAAAACATTATTTTCTCTGATTACATCTACAATCTGTATTTATTTACACAAGGTCTCCCTTCTTCTATTCAATTAAGATAGTGTCCGATATAAAAGCATGTTTATGGGGGCAATTGTGGCGCACTTTTGTTTGACCACACATTTACTCACAAGTTCAGTATAAACTTTGGTATTATTACCACAAAATCCTGAATGTAAACTGTTATGTTTTTATTATTATATTTTCTTTATTTTTGCAAGTTTAAACTAATTAGGTGTTTTCTCTCGCTCAGCTGTCCAACTGCAATGACCTCTCTCAGGCTGGTGCCCTTGCTGCACTCCCTCCTTGTTCTCCAAGTTCATCTGTCCAACCAGTTAGAAGACAACAAGATCCCTCCCAGCCTGTGTACCGGCCTCCCTGGTATCCCAGGGTCTCCTGGAGGTCACGGCGGTCCTGGACAGCCTGGGAGGGACGGGAGAGATGGGAGGGATGCCGCTCCAGGGGAGAAGGGAGAAAAAGGGGACAGGGGAGACCCAGGTGCAGTATTGTATTTGTTTGTGTATGTCTAACTGCCTGCAGGTGGTTTCTCAAGTGTATCCTCTTTCCAGGTGAGACAGGGGTTCGAGGAATTACTGGGGACAGAGGTGACCCAGGACAAAAAGGGGATAGGGGCCAGGCGGGAGAGTGCGCAGTGGCCCCCAAATCAGCCTTCAGTGCCAAACTATCCGAGAGCCAAAATTTACCCCAAACTGTAGCCGATGTGGTCCGCTTCAGCAAGATCATGCTGAACGAACAGGGCGACTACAACACAGAGACGGGACGATTCACCTGCAAAGTCCCGGGAGTTTACTACTTTGCCGTCCACGCCACCGTCTACAGAGCCAGCCTGCAGTTTGACCTGATGAAGAACGGACACACGGAGGCCTCTTATTTCCAGTTCTACGGCAACTGGCCCAAACCGGCGTCTCTATCGGGCGGCTCCCTGCTCCACCTTGTCCCTGGTGACCAGGTGTGGGTCCAGATGGCTCTGTCGGAGTACAATGGGTTTTACTCCAGCACAAAGACAGACAGCACCTTCACCGGCTTCCTGGTGTACTCAGACTGGAAAAACTCAGCTGTGTTTGCGTGACACAGCTGAATCATCTCTAACATCTCTGAAACAAAACACCACCATTTACCTATTATATGACAAAGAGATTCTGGATAAAGACAAGTTAATTACATGTGTCATTGTACATCTGTATTTGGGTTAGACGTAAACAACACTCTGTTTTACTGTCAGGGAAACATAGTCTACTGGTGAGGTGTGGGTTTCACACATGGTCATTAATGTTGCTTCTTTTGCCGCCTTTAAACTGCTGTGACACATAGTTAATGGAACAGATGATGTGACAATGGCCTCCAGCCAACTCCAGGGCACAACTTCATTTTTACTTTTATACTTCATTGCACCTTGTTTCCCCTGAATTACTTCACAACAACATTAAAAAATAAACATTTGTAGTGTTAAAGACACAAATGACTGACACATTTTGTAATGCAATGAGTAGGTAGCAAATATGATATTTATGTCACTTTTTTGTATAAGGTCTGCCTCAGTCTGCAGACATCTGTTTGGTTGTAAAATCTTACAACCAAACACATGTGCATAGTCACCTGATTAATGCTGTGGATGAAGTGTTGAGATTCTTTGTGTAAATGGTATTAAAGCATACATACTTCATAATTCCATGTAAAAGTTCTACTTCAGTCTAAATGCTGAAATATCAAAATGCACTAAAACAATTTAAAGGAAAAGTACTCATTCTGCTGACATGAAAAGGGACCCTGACAAGACAACGACTTTTTGTAAGGAGTCACTTTTCTAAATAACAGTGTTTTAATATTTGACAGAGCATCATATTTTATGAGTTTATCGTATGTTTGTCCTTAATATAGGGCTGAAAAGTGAAAAGCTGCCGTTGCAACTGTAAAATAAATGTTGTGTCGAAGAACTGCAATATTTCCCTCTGCACAAAAATTGAAATATTCAAGTCAAAGAACCTAGAAAGTATCATTAAAGTTCCTGTGAAGAACCTTTGGTTTGTGTCGAATTTGGCGCCCCCTGTAGTCAAAGTAGAACCTCTAAACTCTTGCTGATTTTGCCCTGTACATGTGTAAGTAGTGGATTAAAAAAGCTCATCCTGTTCTTTGTTTTTTCATAACAGTCAAATTATCCACTCAACTCAAATCTTTGCTGTGGAAAAAAAGGCTACTTTCACAGCATGCTGACAATCCCCAAGTCTATATCACCTAACCCATGGCAGTGGTTTAAGCCATTTAAAATTGACATAATAAGTCTTTGTAGGTATGGTCTTGTTTCCTTTTGTATCTCATTGAGAGGCACAAATATGTATTTTAAAATTGTCCTAACCAGCTTTAACCCCCCCCCCCCCCCCCCCCCCCACAGGAGTTTGAGTTATTTCTTACTAACTTTGCTCATATATCAATAAAATTAAACACCTAACACTCTGGTTTTCATCCCCAAAGGCAGAGCTGTGCCACAGTGAATACCACAATGAAAAAGGGTGGAAAATATTCATTTTCCACTGGATTTATTCTGTTTACCTCTCACCTAATGATTCCACCAAACGCTGTATAAGTACCCTGACAGACTCTGCAGCTACGCTTCAACACTGTGAGCAAATGGATGCCAGTCGTTCTCCTCTTCCTGTCACTGATGATAGATCAAAACAATTACATCTATTTTATTTTATTGAGTCTTTCTTGTTATGTCTTGACATTTTTTTGGGCAGCGTTGTTTGTTTAGGTAGGTAAACATGACAAACCCAAAGAAGCCTTCCTGAGCCTGTGAAATGCAGCAGCTCACACATGAGGAAATGCTATTTTCACTTCATTCCCTAAGCACATAATAAAGCTTTAAATATCTCCTCGTAAGTTTTCCCTCCAGGGAAGAATGAGAGAAGTAGAGAGTTGATCAATCTTCCCCTGGCATCAATAAGTTATTTCCATTAGTTCACGGCCTGTAAATTGCTCTCTAACTGCCTGAAGCCGATGGAGGAACAGACGTGACTTCACCCAAACATACTGAGCTCTCATTGGTAGACGGGTGTCTGTTTGGGTAAAGTGAGGGCAGGAGTTTGACATCTGGAAAATGTGTCATAGCAGATGAAACTTAGTTTTGATAGTAATTGATCAAGCGTTCTGATCTTCATCTAAGTCTCAACAATAAACAAACACACTCTGCTTAAACTAATATCACACAAACAATTATATGTTTTCATGTTTTTGTTGAACACAACATGTAAACATTCACAGTGCAGGGTGGAAAAAGTATGTGAACCCCTAGGCTAATGACTTCTCCAAGAGCTAATTGGAGTCAGGAGTCAGCCAACCTGGAGTTCAATCAATGAGACGAGATTGGAGGTGTTGGTTAAAGCTGCCCTGCCCTATAAAAAACACACTTCAGTTTTGAGTTTTCTATTCTCAAGAAGCATTGCCTGATGTGAACCATGCCTCGCACAAAAGAGTGCTAAGAAGACTTATGATTAAGAATTGTTGACTTGCATTAAGCTGGAAAGGGTTACAAAAGAATCTCTAAAAGCCTTGATGTTCATCAGTCCATGGTAAGACAAATTGTCTATAAAAGGAGGAAGTTCAGCACTGTTGCTACTCCCTATAAGTGGCCGACCTGTAAAGATGACTGCAAGAGCACAGCGCAGAATGCTCAATGAGGTGAAGAAGAATCCTAGAGTGTCAGCTAAAGACTTACACAAATCTCTGGCACATGCTAACATCTCTGTTGACGAATCTACGATACGTAAAACACTAAACATGGCGTTCATGGTGAGGACACCATGGAGAAAGCCACTGCTGTCTAAAAAAAACATTGCTGCACGTTTGAAGTTTGCAAAAGAGCACCTGGATGTTCCACAGCACTACTGGCAAAGCATCCTGTGGACAGATGAAACAAAACTTGAGTTGTTTTGAAGGAACACACAAAAAAAAGGCACAGCACACCAACATCAAAACCTCATCCCAACTGTGAAGTATGGTGGAGGGGGGATCATGGTTTGGGTCTGCTTTGCTGCATCAGGGCCTGGACAGATTGCTATCATCGACGGAAAAATTAGTCCCCAAGTTTATCAAGACATTTTACAAGAAAACTGAAGGCCATCTGTCCACCAATTGAAGCTCAACAGAAGATGGGTGATGCAACAGGACGACGACCCAAAGCACAGAAGTAAATCAACAACAGAATGGCTTCAACAGAACCTCAACCCGATAGATATGCTGTGGCATGACCTCAAGAGAGCGATTCACACCAGACATCCCAAGAATATTGCTGAACTGAAGAAGTTTTGTAAAGAGGAATGGTCCAAAATTCCTGCTGACAGTTGTGCAGGTCTGATCTGCAACTACAGGAAACGTTTGGTTGAGGTTATTGCTGCCAAAGGAGGGTCAACCATTTATTAAATCCAAGGGTTCACATACTTTTTCCACCCTGCACTGTGAATGTTGACATGTTGTGTTCAATGAAAACATATAATTGTTTGTGTGGTATTAGTTTAAGCAGCCTGTGTTTGTCTATTGTTGTGACTTAGATGACGTTCAGAACACATTTTATGGCCAATTTATGCAGAAAACTAGGAAATTCCAAAGGGTTCACATACTTCTTGCAACTGTATGTATATATATATCAATATTTCCAACCAAAATCAACTGTGCAAGACAAATGCGTATGTCTCCAGTAAGTGGCTTACTAAGTAAGTCTTACTCATATTCCACCTCTGATTGGCTGAATGACTGACACATTTTATTAGCACAACCCTGACCATCTCACTCCCTATGCCTCAATACAACAAGTATACTGCTTGATCATAACAAGCCATAAAAGGTCATTCAAAATGTACTCATGATTACACATAACGGTAATTTTATCTTTCATCTTTAAACAATGACAAAATCCCCAATCACATCCAAATGAAAAGTTGTCTTATTGAGCACATCTTCTCAGAGCACCATAATCTCCTGAATACCTGAAATAAAGGATTTTGCATTACTCTAATCAAAGAAGGTTCAGCAGTATTTTGAAGTTGTAAAATGTCCAGCAGGGGGCAGTGTTGTTTCACAGTTCAGCCACTCAAACACTCCTCATCTGATCAAAGAGAGTCAGTAACACCTCTGTGTTTCATACTATCTGTACAGAACTGATAGTAGAATCCGCTGACTCAACAGTCCGTACATGTCGTGACTTCATCAAAAGTGTAGTCTGTACAGATGTGAGAAAAGGGGCACTTACATTAACTTCTACCTTAAACAGAATTTACTGGCGACAAAAGAAGCTTAAGTGTTGTCTTTCAAATCCATAAGCTATCTGAAACTATATAGACTACCTTCTTGTAAGAGATGATTAGCACACAATTCAAATTGTGATTTTGAAACTCTATAAACCCTTATTAACTGATGAATTATGGCATTAATTATAAAACATTGAAAATTATGTGGCCAAATTCCTTTTTGTGTTGGAAAAAAATGCTTCATCAGAGGGGTCATTTTAATCTAATTTAACCTATATGAGCTTCTCTGCCCTGGCTCCTGATAAAATCTAGAATAGCCTACAATTTAAAATGATTCTCCTCACTTACAAAGCTTATATTAATTTAGTTACTATGTCATCATAATCATCTACAACAACATTTAGTCTTTATTCCACCTTTATTTGGATCATAGTACCAAAATGCACATTTAAGTCACTAGCAGGACATTTATATTACACATTTTTGAGACCTCTCTCTTGCCATCGATGTTTTTGTGTAGGAACAGTGGCACTTTTCAGGCTGAAGGTAAAAGGTTAAGTGGAATGGGGGTGACTCATGATGAGTCCTGTGACCCTAACCCTGATGGTTATCATCCAGTTTCCTTCAGGAGCCCCCACTTTAATAGCTGCAAAGCCCACCCATCATGCACTGCCTTTATTCAAGGTTATTATCTGGATGTATCACAACAAACCCCTTCATCACAGTGGAGTCAGGTCTGGGTGAATGCCAGGGCTAATGAGCTGCCTGTCCCGACACATTACAGTCACATCGTTGTTCGTCATTTACATTCAGTGACTGTTCTTGTATGTTTTTTATCTTTCTTGTGTATGTATTTGCATCATATGAGGGTCATGCCACCTCCTGGTATGCTAGCCAATATCAGCCAATATATTTGACTTTTTAGCAGCATACATGTGGGCTTGAGCCCGTCTTGTTCTTATTGATGAAGAGACTAAGATTGAAATACAAACTGTATAGATGATGGAGAATTCTGATTTCTGCAGGATGCTGATAGTGATCATAAAAAATAAAAATAGAGGGAGGGAAGGGTGCACTAGAGTCTGACATTTTCCCACACTGCTCCCGGGCCAGTACCAGGGGGGGCCAAAAGAAAGAGACCAAATCCCCAGGGTATAAAGCTCCATTTGGTTTACTCCTCCCTGCTCTTCCCCTGACTTCATACTTCCTCTCCTCTGTTAACACCATCCTTATTTACAACTAATACATAAACTGTGTTGAGGCAGAGAACGCCCATCATGAGTGTTTTTTGTCTTTTTTGTCTTCCAGTAGAAAATTTGCACACGCCTTTTAGATATAAAAATCTATTTCCTTTCTCCTGTTGCATCCCTCATACTTTAAGGTTCTTTGCCAAGTTTCCAAATCAGACTACCACTGCAAGAACATGCACTACGATGCACTGAGATGTCATTGAGTGCATTCTTTTTTTCTTTCTTTTTTTAGCAGATACAAAGTCTTGATCTGCAGATATTTTTAGCGAAACATTGGGAACACAAATAAATCTGAAAACCACAAAGCCCTTGTGAATGGTCTTACATTGGTGGAAGTGGTCCCATTAGGCCATTAGGGGCCTCCTTCTTCTGACTCTGCAGCCCCCAAACAACCCCCTTTATCCTCACAGATGTAAGACATAAACATTGAATCCTGTCTCAGTGCATTCATGTAAAAAGGAATCTGTAATCTCATGTTTCAAACCCCCCAGAGACACACTTCCTACTGTATACTACTAATGAAAATCTCTACATGTGAAAGCCCTGGGACACACTGAGGGCTGTGTGAATGTTCAGAACTGACCGTGACATAATTTGAACCTGATTTGGAAAAAGATAAGAGTTAAGAATAAACTATGTGTGAATGGATGTAAAATGGATATCCGGTTGTGCAGTGTGATTTACTTCCTGCCAACGTGCTTTAATCACAGCAGCCTTTTTGACTTGTCAGAGGAGGCAACCTTAATTATAACTCTGTTCTGTTCAAGTGGCCATGAAAGTGTGACAACGGGGCATGAACAATATCAGGACTTAAACTGATGCAGCTAAATGGAGTTCAGTGGTCATAAATTGGATTTGTTTTTGTTTTTTAATTTCCACAAAAAAGGGCTGTGTGTGATGTTTTTCTCTTGCTTGCAACTATTTCTGAGCTGTACCTGAAGGCATCTCTAATGCTTTAGACAAACAACAGTAACATTTTCCAGGTATTTTGTGTACCAGAAAAAGGGCGAGATGAGAGAACTGTTGAAACTTGGTATTCAAATTCTGGGTGAAGTTGCTCTTTAATTTTTTTCGTACAGAGTAATTCAGTACATTTTAAAATATTTTTCTAGTTTCTCAATCTGAAATATATTTTAGATTTCTTATTATGTGAGTACACTGGATATATCTAGATTATATACTGCTTAACAAAATTGTAGGACTTTAAGACAACGCCATCAGTGTATTGAACTTGTTATGGAGATTATTTTAACTGCTGATATTCTGCACTCAATTGATTCAGTTGCATCACTACATTAATCAGAAGCTTCTTTGTTACAGCCCTAAAAAAAAAAATCAGGGATCACTAAATGAACACCCATCATCCTTACCCACTATCACCTGACAACATCTCCAACCAATTGCAGTGTATTTAAGCTGCAAGATTTCTGGTCTCTTCATCTGCTCCTTCATCGTCAGCTTTGACCTGTAGTCCAGTACAGCACTCATGTAGGCTCTGACTGTGGGGGGGGGGGTTAAGATATCATCCCATCACTCTTCAAATTTCTGCATGTACAACAAAACTGCTAGTAGTGACACGATCAGAGCCTAAAAGCCACAAACGAACTATGTTCTGCTGCGGTAATAAGTTTTTCCAACAAATACAAACGTGACTGGACTATAGAATTTGGTATTCTCCATGTGTCTTCTCTGTGAGTTTGTGACAACATCTAGACAGTTTAAGTCTTTGTTTTATTATCAACACAATACTTGCCATTTACATGGCAGCCAAAGCATTAAAAAAAAAAAAAATAACAATCAAGTCTTCAAATCACAGTCTCACACTTTGTGGTACAACCTGCAAGTAAAAACAGATAAAGGTCATGTGGGCTGTTTGCATTCAACTGCTATCATTTAGTTATGGAGAGGTCTGGTCCCTCGGAATTATTTACAGTTTTATAGATTTGACATTGAAACAACTTTCAAGACATCTGACTGATGCTGTATGGAAAAGAATGTCAGGATGTAGCTCCACTCACACAAACGGCAGAAATCGAATTTCTTCAAATCAAAAAAACATATATTCACTTTTTAAAAGCAAATTAGGGCAATCAACAGATCTAACATCACACCACCCACAACCTTAACAAAGTGTTCAATCTTATCACAATAATGCTCTGTAAACCTTGAACAGTGGCCAAAAACAGTCTGGCTTTAAAAGCAAGAAAAGAGAAACAAAGATGATGCTGTTGAGGCCTTGTCAGTTTATGGTCCTTTTAGATAGCAGAAATGTGTTTTATTACAATGACAGAGGAAAGATAAAACCTTCTATAGATTACATGTTGGGTGTGATTGCAATATGCCTGTAGAGAGACTGGAGCTCTATCTATAGAACTTTAGTCTGAAACAAAGCTGGAGTTCAACATATCTGACTGGAAAGTTATGAATCTCTTTCAGAAAACACACCAAACCTCTCTTAACTCTTTACTTTTTTTCTGTAAAAAAGTAGCCATCTTTTATAAATGTATTATTCCAAAAAGCATTCATTGAAAAAATACACACAGCATTCATACATACAGCAGTGCAAGTTTCGTTACTCTGCAACTTGGCTCAATAACAGCAACATCTTAAGACATGAGCGGCGGTAAACATTTCAGCATCAGGGGGAGCGCTGACGGGTTACCATGGCTACGAGACCTGAGACTGAACATATCAATACTGGAACATTTCAACAAAGGTGACCCAAAACCGCAAGAAAAGTTTCCACAAATAAAGGCTCGCTAACAACTATTTGGAACTGTTATCCCACAATGCAATGCAGAAGAAATAACTGAGTGGCAATGTAATGTTTTTTTTAACTTTTTCTGACTCATTATTTAGCTGTGGCATTTTATAATTGTAATTCTATTTGACTGTTCATATTTCTGTTTTACTATTTCCCACAAGTTGAAACAGTTTATGTTGATTTCTTGTAAACAAACTGTAAGAAGACTATTTAGAAAGAACAGAATTTACCTGCAGTACTTACTGCATACAGTTAGAACATACTACAGTATGGAATTGGGTTGTGTTATCTTCTGCATTTATTTTCTGTTTACAAAAAGTTGCACAGATCTGAAGCCTCATCTCGTAAGAACAATCTGATGATATTCTCCAGTTTTAAAGCAATAAACCTAAACAAATACAGAACCAACAATAAAAATACCCTTTTTAAACCAGTCTAGCCTGTGTATTCTGAGCCTGATTACAACTGTTTGAGAACATTTATTGCTTATGTAACTAAGTGATGAAACTACAGAGCCCAGCTCCAGAACTGTTTTTAAAGTTTTATAAATTCAGTGAAAATAAAGAAGCTTGTAGCTGAGCCAGGAAAGCATTAAGAGGGACTAAGGCGTTGATACTTTTGGTTTTATCAAGAAAAATGTACCAGACCTTCAAAGCAACCAGATAAAAACATAGCTCATACAGCATCGTTTCAGTGGTGTAAGATTAAAGATTGGTTGTAGCATTTAGTCAGTCATGAAAAGATCCTCTTCTGTCAGGCCTTCATAGATAAACATCCATGGTGTTGAGGATCATGTGCCGACAGAGCGGGCAGTTCTGTTGATAGATGGGCTGCCTCAGCAGGATGTCCGTACAATCTCTGCACAAGCAGAGGTGCCTACATGGCAGCAGAACCACAGTCTTGGTACAGTCCTGACAGATAACACACTTCTTCCTGTCCTCCTGCTCCTTTAGCAGAGTCAGCAGATTCTCAGCAGGCAGCGCTTTGCTCTCCTTGCCTGGAGATGACTGCTTCTTCAGTGGTCTGTCGGTGCTTGAGGAGGGGAAAACATTGTCCAGCAGCTCCTGATGGACTCCATCTCCTGCTCTCCCATCTGGTGGGTCCCGCCTCTCCTCTGCGGGGTCTCCATCTCCTCGTTCTCTGTTGTTGTTGTCCCTGTGGAGCTGAGTCCTCAGAGCCAGACTGAGCCGGCTGCTGAGTCGAGATAACTGCTGCCAGAGTCCTCTCTCTAACATGCAGAGGTGATTGAGCATCCTTGGCAGGCGCTGCATGGCACTGCGTAAAACATGCGGAGCATTTTGCAAGGTTGAAGTAAGATTTCGGAGAGTTAGTAAAAGTCTGTGCAAGGCAGGAAAAGAGTTGATGTAATCTATGATTCGCACAGCAGCCTCCCGGGTCAGCTCAGGGTTCAGGTAGATAGTGGTAGTCAGGGCAATAGAGACAGTGAGCAGGAGGCCATAGATGTTCAATATAAAGATGCTGACAAATATGTGTACAAGTGAAACCAAGAAGTCCAACACCAGCTTACAGGGTGACCACAGGAACGCCGAAGTTCCAACCAGGCTGCTGTAAAGAAAGGTGAAGGAGGTCAGCGTGAGCTCCAGCACCTTCTGCAGCGGACTGGAGACTGTCTGCCACACGCTGACAGCTGCCAGGTAAATATTCTGGGCCGTTATGAGTGCAAAGTTGACCACCGTGTTGGCGAAATAGACCACGAGGCTGGCGGCGATGCCACAGCCCTCAAGCAATGACAGAAGACCTCGGCACAGGTGCTCCTTCCCACGAAGCAGCACGTGCACGGACAGGTAACCCACCATCTTCAGGCTCTCCAGCAGCCCCTCCAGAGCGAGCAGCAACCTCCCCAGGATGGCGACCGCCCCGTGGGCTACGTTTGACGTCGCCTCTGCCGTGGACATCGAGCAAAACACGATGAAGTTCCCCACCTCCAGCATGACGTTGAGGAGGAGGGTGGGCAGGCTGGTTATAAAGGAGATCACAGCCAGGATGGTCCTCACCACACTGTGGACGATGAGGAAATTCAGGTCCAGCAGTAAACAGACGGCGTCCAGGCATTTTCCTACTGTTGAGATAAAGAAATTTACCAAACCCATGGTAATGTTTTCTGAAATTGTCGATGTTAAAGGCTTACTCTTCACGCTTTCAGGTGGTTTCCAGGTCCATGTCCTATTGTTTCATAGTGAGAAGAAGTTTAATGTCGACTACATGTTGTCCGAGTCCTTAATTTGTCCTTTGTGTAAGGCGGACCAGTAGCGTGACAATAATCCTCGTTTCGATTAAGTTTTTGAACATATTTTCTGACTATTGTTCTTGCTGAGACGACGAGCTATGATAGTAAACACACGCGTTACAGAGGCGGATGTTTAGGTTCAAACCAGAGGCGGACACTTCCGTTCATTTTCCGGGTTTCGTCTCGGGCTACCCGTTCAAAACTCACCCAGTAAACATTTGATGAGTTTGTTAGGCTTCATAGATGACGTATGCCCATTAAATCAACACGTGAAACCACCCAAGACGAGTACAAACACTGTCCGGGCATGTTTTGCATCGTAAAGCGTCATTTTAGTCGCCATATTTGTTTTGGTCGTATCAGCTCAGCTTCCGGTGACATCACAAACACGTCAAAATAAAAGACTTGAAACAAAAAGTAAACATTTTATAAATTAAAGAAACGCAACATTGCAACATAAGTACCATTAAAAATAAATGTAATTAATATTTATTTTTTTAAAATAAGATAGTATTGAAACATTTACAATACTAAGTTAAAAGTTCTGATGTTTAATTTAAATGTTTAAAATGATTAAATTTAACAGTCATGATGGTCAAAATCAAAATATTTTGTTGTCTTATAATTATTTAATTATTTAATCGTCTAACTCTGCAAATGTTGTGATAAAATCCTTAATTTTTAAGTATTATTCAATTATTTATTCAAAATCTCATTTTACTTACTTTTTACTCTTTTATATGTTGTATTTTTTACGAGTTGCTTATTTCTTGAAGAAATTTAAAGAAAATTAGGAAACTAAAACAGTCCAAACATATAAGAAAATGATGAAATTACAATTATGTATATCCTTTACTCTTTCTTTCTATCCTGCCACATTTTTTTATTATAATCAATTATGTCACTGATTTATTTGAAATGTTTTAGTCTGAAGGGTTTTGAAATTTAGATTTAATTATTTGCAGACTTGTTTCCAAAATAAATAGATAAGAGTTATAAAGAAAACTTTTATTTGTTTCTTATAGGGCTTTCACACTTGCAGAAAACTTGTGAAAAACATTTGGAGTATAGGAGCTGTATGTGTGAACGGCACATTTTTCATTCAGACTTCACCCGGAATTTCACCTGTCAGACCCCTATTTTTTTTTCCACAGCAAGTCCGATTGAGTTGATGTGATAAATCAGCAGGATATTATTTATAGAATTCGAGTAAATCTGAGAGGCCGGTGACATTTCTATACTGTGACTGCTGCACGGTGCATAGAGTTTAATGCATGTGACAGCTACGATCTCTACACGTAATTAAACAGCTGCATAATTTTTTCTGTTTGTCAGTATGTTGTTTTCCGCTCTTTTGTTGATAGTGTGATTCTGTTGAACTACACGTAGCATTGATATGAAGGCAAATATTGTCATTATAGCATCGTAAAGTGGACTCCGTTGCTTTTTCCTCTACTTCCGAGTTTTTTTTTTTTATGTCACCTCTTACCTCAGGAGATTATCCCCGTGAGTCTGAAAGGTATAGTCTCCTTCTGTGAGGTGCTTATGTCAACAGCCAGGTCAGGAGAATATCCAGAGCAGTCCTCTTGAAATTATGTTTATGTGAAAATGACTTTAGAAACTTTTATATGTTTGTGGGTTTGTGCGTGTGAGTATGCAGTCCATGTGTGTGTGTTAGAGAGAAATAGAAAATTGACCAAGATTGCGTTCAATTACACCATTCTGACCTTTAATGCATCCCCAGATTTTTAGTATTTCCAGAGCTCATTCCATCTACATTAACACAGAGCCATACTCTCCCATTACCTCAGCCATATACGCAACAATGAAATACAGAGTCATTGCAATCCTGAGCAAGATCAGGAGTATTTCCTTCCTTGCCTTGTACTTCATCCTCCCCATCTGAGCTGCTCAACACTGAACTTCTTCTTTTTTTTTTCGCTAAAGGAAACTATGTCTGATAAGATCATGGGAAATCCTGCTCTGAACCTTTGGACACTGGACAACAGCATTTGTTTAAGCATTTAATGATACAACAGGAATACATAGGCGCATTGCAAGAAGCTATAAAAGGTATTGTGCATTACTTGGTCTCTTGGCAGGGAGGGTCTAGACCGGCTCCTTTTATGGTAGTTAACCATCCCTCTGGTAGTTTAGCAGGCCAGTAGTCAGCTTCTTGTGTTTCAAACCAAATCTTTCCTCTCTAAATGATACATAATACATAATTGTGTCTATTGTTTATCAATTGCTTATGTATAGGATGCAAGATGAGTAGCTTTGATGTCTCTTTATTCTTTGCTGTCAATTTTACACTGTGAACTCTAGCAACATTTTACAAGTGGGAATGAAAGAACATAGATAAAAGTTTCCTATTTACTCTTTTTTTGGCACATATAATCCACAACTGGGTAGCAGCAAACTGAGAGGCCCATTCCAGCTAATACAAAGATTGGTTACAAAATCAGCCAGTGTTAACAAAATGGGAAATCCATCTTGAACTAAGACCGAGAAGCTGATCCTCAAAGTTGTCAAGTCAAAGTTAACAAACATTCTCAAAATTAAATGCCCCCATGGGAAATCACACAGTGTGACCATCGTTGGAAACAAAAGATGCTTGCACAGGATGAAACAGAGACAAAAGGACAAACAAACCCCATGACGTGTTTCCTACAAGCAGCCGAGGGGCCTTGGATGACCAATTTTGCAGCAATTGGACCTCTCACCCGCTGGGTCATTTCCACCCTTTAAAGCAATGCAAAATTTGACCTACCCTCCCATCTCTTTGTCCCTGCCACTCCCCAGAAACCACTCTTTAATGCTCTGTGTCAATTTGAAGGGTTGTTAAATTAAACTAGTGGTGCACTCACATGTGAGTTGATTCATTTTTCTAATGCAGACAACCAATGGGGACTCAAGGAAATTACTGGTCTCTCAAAGAAATAGTCAGTCATACAGCTAACCAGAAAAAGGAAACTTGAATTTTTAATTCATGACCTTTAAAGGTCATATTATATTACGATAGGAAAGAGCGTAGACAGCCAATATACCTTATTGAAGTCTTAGTGCTAAGCTCAGATAACCAGCTGTTAATTGTATATATACAGCACTGATAGGGGTGTAATATAATTTACTCACTGTACACTGGGCAAGAGAACATTTTTTAATAATGATTAAGATGTTACATTTTTCTGTCCACTTATGAAGTATCATTAGTTCAGGAATAGCAGATTGCCTGTCATACAGTATCTTTGTTTTTTGACAGTATAATATAACAGCAACAGTGTCTACAATGTTAATTTTTACCGTTTTGTATAAAGAGGACTCACCTTTCAAAAACCATCACTATAATTTGTACAGTAGAACCATAGACTGTAAATATTAATTGACGAGGCCTGAGTGACGTCAGTCTACTGTTACGGCAGCAGCCGCAATGCTGGAAAGGCTGTTTCCGCCTAACTTTCAGTCAACTTAACGACAGACTGAGAGCTGGAGCTGAGGCGGGTTTTTCACCTTCCTGACAAACTATTACATCACGCCTACCTATCAATCCTGTCAGCTAGCGCCTTACTATGGATAACACGTATCGTTCATAAAATCAAATCGGAGTCTTAGAAGAAGAAACAACTCCCCCAGGTCACCTGTGTGAACCTGTGATCAGATGCATTTAGATTTAAACATGTGGACATGCATTATTGGAGAGATGTCAGAGTGGGGGTGCTACACAGGGAGCGCACCAGGGCTGTTTAGGTGTCAGTGCCTTGCCCAAGGGCACCTCAGCTTCCCAACCCAAGTCCTTACAGACCTACTGCCACCCAACAGAAAAGACAAGTTTCCCCATGATCTTGAAAATCTGTCATCACCACCATGACCTTGAGTCTGATGTCATGTTCCCAGATTTCATAGTTTATTTTTTTCATAGTTTACTTCAGATCAACTCAGTCAATGATGACTTTGGCTGCCAGCCAGTCAGTAAACTGCACTCACATACATTTACAGCCAGAACACATCTACAGTACTGAATGTGTGTGTGTGTTTTTTAGAGAGAGGGAGTAGGCAGCAGAGCAGTGTGCTTCCCTGGGAAAACACAAACTCCACACAGTTGAAATCACTGGAGTGCAGACTGGTGGGGACCCGGGGCAGGACCCCGCATTCCACAGAAAACCCCTTGACACAAACCTGTGGCTTCCACTACACCGAGAGAGCGCGAGAGAGAGAGAGAGAGAGACGAAAAAAGAGAACAAAGGCAGGAAAATAAGGATTGGGATAAAAAGCTCATGCAGATAGAGACATCGTGAAGATTTTCCTGATGTGATCAGAGAGATATGAACGGGATGACTGAGACTGTAGAGGTCCCTCAGTGGGACATTCCTGCTCTTCTCAGGACCTTGTCTGTGCATCTGCAGGATGTTCATGAGTCTGGAAGCAGAAGTAGCAGCTTCCTGCATCATGACTCATTATCCTGCATCTGTCTTGAACAAAAAAGTATAGAGTGAGATCATAGACTGCCCATCACTCACATTACCCAAGTTGAAGTTTCACATTTTTGTGAAAGTGTGTAAACCCCCAAAATATTCAGTTCAGTTTCTTATTTTACGTAGAATTGCAAGGGATGGACACAGCTCTTTAATGTCTTTTTTTGTAGGTCTAGAACCGAGTGCTTTTTTGATATTTATCACAACATATAAACTGAGAGAAGATTATTTGTCAAGTGGACAAGTGGGAATGAAAACCATATAATTTTGGATTTGAAACTGGATGTTTTTTTTTTAACTGAAGCTATTAACCTTTTATCCAACCTTTTAATCAACCCTTTTTATTCTACTTCCTTTAATCTTCATTTTATACAGAAATCTTCTCAGGCTGACACACTAAAGAAACATGCCAGTGGGTGGATTTATTATGATTAATGTCCTCTATCACATATTATCACCATGAAGAAGCGTTATTTAATTCTTCGTCCCATGTAGCTATCAAAGTCTCTCTTTGTCACAATCCCTGTTGCTGTGACGTAGTTTAGCAGCAATTCAAATTTCTCTCCCACTCTTCCCCCAAGCCCCCTCTCCATACCAATGGACAGTCAAAAGCCCCCCATCCTCTGGAGAAGCTCGGACAATGGCCTTCTCTCATGCCGCGTAGACTGTCCCCCAAAACAACTAGCTCTCCGGTCTGGCCTCAGTAGCTCGGAAAGAATGACTTCTTTTCCTCTCTTTCCTTCCTTCAGACTTTCCTTAGCCCGCACTGTCCGCACTGTGAGCCCTGCTGAGATAAACAGAAGTCGTAGTCATCAATCACAAAGGATCGGCACATGCAGGGATGATGGAGGGACACTCAGAACAATGCATCAGGAGTGGAAACCTTTAAAGATCAAAGTTGAATGCAAACAATTTCCGTTAAGATAATGGCGTTTATCTGATGAGTCAGGGCACTCAGTGAAACTTGATTATGCCTTACATGTTTTTTCTTCAATTGCAAACTTGATTTCATGTAATTCTCCTGCCCTTTATAGTCATTAGATAAGCATAGAGCTAACTGCTGGTGAGCATAGCTTAGCATAAAGTCTGGAAGCAGACTGAAAAAGCTATCCCTCCTCTGTCCAATAGTTAGAATAAATGAGCCTACAACAGCCTATTGTAGGCCTACAGGAACCTACTGCAAGTACATTTCCCCATACATATGAAGAAAATGCTGTTACTGCAATTCAATCCTTAAAATACTAACTGACCAGACATTTTATTGGGGATTAACTGGGTTAATTTGAAAGGTGGAGGTTTCCCCCTGTGACCAGGCTTGGGACGTACTTTTATGTCATGTTTAGGACTTTGTAGTCCCTGGGAACTCTGTGGGGGAGGGGATGGTGCTTTTCCTGCTTCTGTTTTCCTTTTTCAGTCTCATTCCCAAAACCATTGCCTCCTTATATTCCCAAATGCCCTGTCCAGGATGTATCATATTAAATAAAGGGTGAAGAGGGGACATTCCTGCAATTTGTCCGCAAGGAATTTTAAGAGGGCCCGGGAAAAAAAGAGTATCTTTTTATAAAACTTGGCTATAGACACATACTGTACAGTAGCTGAAACTTGTGCCTGCCCTGGTCACATTGCAGACATGAAGGTACAGTCATGATTTACTGACCTTGAGTGGCTGAACAATGTCATTGTTTTGAAAATGGGTAGTGCTCTGCTATCGCTACAAACCATAAGGCCTATATGTAACCACAAAGGAAATGAACTCATCAACACTCTTTAACTTACATAAATCCAGTATGTATTAACGCCCCTCTGTAGGTAATCTGGCAGTTTTCTGATAATCTGTATAGAATCTTATATTAGATATTTCAGCATAACTTAATTGAAACACATACAACTTTTGTGTTAAAAGCACATTGTGTGGAGTAAAACAATTGCAATTGTACCCTCAGTGCAAGCCGTATCCAGCATGCGGATTCAGGATGTTGTGTTGATTTTTTTGTCTTTTTAACCAAAGACCCCATCTACACCACATCACAGCAGGGAGAGAAAGTTGTTATTATGTGTTATCAGCATCAGCCTCACATTTCCATCCAAACAGAGCGACAGAGCTCGTATCTCCACCGGAAGATCCCTGTAATGACTTTAGGATGGCAGGGAAAACAGACCAGAGATATCAGGTCATCAGAGGATGTTTCGAAAGCAGTCACACTTTCTTCCTGCCTGTCTGTTTTATTTCTGCTTTGAACATGTGGAAACAGGAGATCCTGAAATGAAAACGAACTACTACATATCTTTTCAGGTAAAAAAAAAGCCAAAAAACTACATAACAAAGCCAAATAAACACAAATGCAAGCGCCAGTACTCATTATCTAACAATGTAACTCAAAATCACCTCATCCTAATAGTATACCATGTCTCTAGACTAGGAGTAATTTATTCAAATCTAGGCCTATAGGATCATGATCTTTGTAGTATCAGTTCTTCAGCCTCAACTCATTATTTTTATGTATTTCATGCAATTTTACCAACAAGTAATCCACTAATTCATTTATATGACATTTATATAGCTCATAGATCTACTACACTACAACTGGCTTGGATATAAAAACGTTTTGGGCCTTCAACTGGGGACCAGGGTCTTTTCCAGTGAACTTTTTGTATAACTAATCTCTATTTTTGATACTTTTTTTTTTTATCTACTCTGGGCACCTTATTTATATTCAAAACACACGTCTGCTTCATCTTTCAAAACACTTTCCAGTGTATTTGATATGATATTCAAAAAACCACACTCCAAACTTGACTCTCATGCTGCATACAGTATGATTGGATAACTGAAGTTTGGGGGAGGGGTTTAGGCAATTTCACCTGTAAGACAAGTACACTGAATTAGAAATGTGTGTCGAATGGTTGAATATCTTCTTTACAACCCACCTCAAAATATTTCTGATTACATTTACTGAATGATTGAGCGATTCCAATACATAGGTATTATAGTTTTTATTCCAGCCCAATTTTCATTTTTGGCACCACTAATTGTGTCACTTTTTGCGTGAACTAATTTAATGCAACATTATCAACAACATCCAGACAAGTCCGAGTGACCAAGTGTATGTCAATATACCAATGTTTAAACAATATCATATCACTCCACCGAGACTTCAACTCACCTTAAAGTGTGGCTGGTTAGATCAGATCAGGTACAAATGCAACATGACATGTGAACATGAGCCAGCCTCAGTATGTTGTGATATCAAGAACACAAGACAGTAATGACTGCATTTCTGGAAAACAACATGTCTTTCAAGGCTTTTTCAGGACAGGGACTGTGAATTAGCCAAGTTCTTAATTATTTAAGAAAAAGGCATCAGGGTGTTTACTATCCCATGGGATCTCTTACCTATTTCATCCCAGACTTTTCTGCCTCACACAGAGCTATTTCACATTCCCTGTGTAAGAGTTTGGCTGAGAGAAACGCGGAAAAGAAGTTCCCTTAGGCTCTCTCACGGCCTTTTTATTTAGTTGCCACGACATAAAAATAAAGAAAAAAGTTATCTAAAAATCATATGCTTAAAATAGAGCAGGAATGGCTGAGAACACAGCAAAATAAACCCCTGTAATGTTCTTAAAACATGATGAAGCCTTTACAAAATGTCCTGGTCTAACCAATATTAAATAAAGTACATAATTTGTTCTGGCCAGTGTCACAGCTTTCTTTTGGGACTCTTTTGCAGTCGTGAATTTGGTATCATCGCCTGCTCTATGCCGCTTACACACTCAGTGGTGATCCACTTGGCAGACACAGACTGCAGACGGTCTTTTCCAGAAGCAAAGGTTGCAGAGATCAGTGTACATGACACGTCTCAACATTCTCTGATCTGTTTCCAGCTGAACAGATGAAAGATAGTTCACATGGGATCAAATCATACTGAGATTAAACAAATGCAGCTGTACAGCCAGTTTACTCAGTGTGGAAGCAAGGTTTGTGGAAGTGTGTTGCAATGTGTTACAGTTTGTAATCGCGTGTCTCCTACAGGATGATGAAAGTAAAAGTGGTCTAAAGGACTTTTTTTTCTTCTTATTGACTTTCTTTTTTTTCTTCCTAGTCTGCTTTAATTTTAATTCATTCTGTTTAATTGCTTTTTACAGCCTTTAGAATTTAAGTAAAGCATTAAATAATGACTTCAGGTGCAAGTTAAGCTGAGAGCAAGGGGCCCCATATGCAGAGACTATAGTCCTTGACTCTAATAATGAATGAATGAATAAATAGATACATAAATTAAATGGTTTCTTATCATTAACAAAAGCTCCTTTCTTTATTTAATTGGCTTGTATTTTATTTGTTTATCCATTCCTTCCTTTGCCAAGGCAAAGCAGTTGTGACTTTCTCCGCAAGTTAATTTAGCCTCCTTCTTTTCGCCCCTGCCCTTCGAAAAGTCTGTACACGCCACTGCCGCCCACTCATGTCAAATTAACATCCATGTAGCATCTCATGCCATAGTTTTATCCATTCATGGATTCTATTAGGAATGCTTAAATCATTTTAGCCTACTGTCTGTTGGTATATCAGGTTTCAGTCTTGGGAAACACACAGAAGCTGTAAATTGTAACTCCATGCTGTATTTCTAAGCAGACCGCCGCCCTCCTGCTGCGCTCATTAAAAGGTCCTCCTTTTTTTGCACGCTGCAAAAAATGTCCACTTTTTTTATTCATTTAATCTCGTTCTTCCAACTCGTGTCAGTTTATGCATTTCAATGAAAAGGCCAAGAAGAGCGGAGGCCGAGTTATTCAAGCAAAAAGTGTTTTTGAAAATGTGGTTTCATTAGACCACTGTGCGCTACTACAGATTCGCATAGACTGACATTTTTTACAGCGTGGGACCTCCGGTCTCTGCCCCTCCTGCATCATTTGCCTCCGCGCGTTGCACCGCCGCTCCCCTCTTTCTGTCTCACACAGTTTTCCAGGAGGACCAGACTCTCTCAACTTATACTCACACGCATTAAAACACACCTCAGCACAGACAACCGCTGTACAGACCTTCAACCATGGCTGTACGGACCGCTTCCTTCCTGCTCTTCGGACTTTTTGTCACCTTTCACACCTGGGGAGGTGAGTGCACGAGGAACAAACTCATTCACCATGCAACACGAGACTTTGAAGAGTTGTTGATGAGAAATAGACAGACTATTTCTATGTCAAGGTCTTTATAGGTAGGCGCCCAGAAATCCAACAAGAGAAAGAAAGTTTGATTATGTTTGTCATCAAAGTAGGAATGTCATAATGGGTGATGGGAACAGTCCAGACTGATTTTATCTAGCATCATCATTATACCTTGCTTACGTTTTTTGACAGTTCATGACACTTGTCCTCATGAAAGTGGGATAAATGAACTATTCAAGAAACTATGTTGGAACTTCAGAGGTTTCTGGTTTTCTGTTGCCTGCATATATTCTGTACCTATACGCCTTGGTTGTGCAGCTCCTGTGCACACAGGAATGATGTGATACTGCACAGCCCTCTTTTGCTTACATTACTTTTAGGTTAAAGTCTACCAGTGGAAGTAAACCATCCAGCCACTTTAGCCCTGTGTTTTTGTAACTTGGCTGTATGTTTATGCTAAAATTTCTTAAATCAAGTGTCTTTTCAAAGTATACTTTTTTGAGTCAAGACATTGTAGCCATGCACAGACCAAAAGCAAAGGCTCATTGAAGAAAGATAGGCTGTACAATAATAACCATAACAAGTTCCTGTGACGTAAAAGTTTCTCCCCTCATTCTCAAATCAATCAGAACAGTGGGTGTGTTGTTTTTGAGGTTGTGTTTGTGATGCATAAAAATGGAGGAATGTAAACTCTTATTATTGCTTAGCTGTACATGTACTGAACAAACATGTCAAGCTTGTTGAAACATTTCTATTTGAATTTCCCATGACTACACTTTGCGAATTTCCATGGTAGGTATGGTTAACTTGAATAGTTTGCTGCATGTATTTTTAGCCGCTTACATGCACAGAGGTCCGGTTGTAGTCAGCAGCTCAGTCTGCTTTCTGTCAGCTCCTGTCTGTTCAGTGTATCACAGATAGACATGCACACACTCCCACAGTGAGTGAGATACAGCTCTCATGCCCACATTTACAGTGAGATATGTGGAAAGAAAGGGAAGATCTTTGACAGTCAATATCTTGTTTTAATCAGACTACTTTGTTTCATATCAGTTGTGATAGTCGATAATAGAGAAACTGGATGGCGCACGGTGAGGTGCAGATGTAGGTTTATTTATAGAAGGCAGCGTGTGAGTGTTATAGTTGGTGTTATGTGGGTGAGAAGGGCACGCTTTCCCAGCTATCTGGATTAGATCTTACTGGACGTTTTGTTTAGTGTTTGTTTTTTCTGACCCTGACCTCTTCACGTCTTTACCTTTCATTATCTTTGTTTGTCTTCAACCACATGAATCTTTCCTGTCCCTGTATTGTGCTGGCCTCCTGTTTAAGTTTGAGCATGACCATTGTTTGTGATCTCCTCCAACCCTATGAACTCTTATCACGTCCACTTCCTCTGCTTCTTCTTCTCCGGCTGTATTCACGCCGGTGCTGATGTCCTTCACCGACATTCCATATCTACCCTGTCATTCATTTGAAATAGGCTATTGTAATTTAAAAAAAAGTTTGATCACAGGATGTCATTCAGGTATTTAATTTGTCATGAGATCATTTCTGTTGGGCTATTTGCCCTGTCTTGGATTTCAGTCAGTTTGATAAAAACACTGATAAATCTTTCAACAATATTTCTACGCAAATTTGTATGATTGTGTCTGCGCTTTATATCTTGCTTTAGTACATGATGACACTAGGGATTAAAGACACACATGCTGCCGGCCTATTTGGGTGACTCTACATGGCCAAACTGTGCACTTCCTGTGACATCTGCTAATTAAGCGGGGCCAAAGAGCCGCCACATTAGACCTCGCTCATTTAAAGGTCGTCAACTTGTGCACTGAGCTTCAGTTTCTCGTGCTCAAAACAACTGCTGCTCTTCAGAAGAAGTGAGCTGGACACAGACAATAAACGTCATTGTTGTGTCTTGATCGCCTCATACGAAATTGAAGTTATCTGGCAGAGGATCAACAGAGCAGGCTGGAAATGAAAGTCCCTGAATTCAGTCCTCTTCCGGCATACATCCACAACCAAGACTGGGGCTGTTTCATTACATGCATATGAGCAGCTGTGTGTGAAGCAGGTTGGAAATTGTTACTGAACAAGAATCTTGATCTGTTGGATCTTTTTTGACTGACTAATGACATTTTTTTCAAATATGTAAAAATCTATATATTAGTTATTTGAATCGTAGGAAGTAACTGTTCTCACCTTTGGCCTTATTCATTACAAGTGGATAGACTCCAACTTTTGGCATGAATATAAAATATCTTCAGGGGGGTTCAGTAACCAAATGAAGGAAAAAAAATCACTTATCACAGATCAAATTCATCATGGCAAATGGAGTCTTATCTCTGTCCTGACATAAAGCCCTGAGATGTTCAGGCACTCTGTTTATGTGTTCCCATGCAACGGACTCCCCAGTCTACCACACAGAAAGGAGCAGTCCATCCCTGTGTTTGATCTCGGCCGTGACAGTGAAACATTAGTCCGAAGATGTCCAACATTGTTTTGGTGAAATCACGCTTGTTAGGATTAGAGAAACATAATCGAGATCCTCAGCGAAACCTGGAGAGGAAACAGTACAAAGGCCAGACAATACTAACCCTGGGCGGAAACTGGAAATAAAGTTGATCTCTATAAAGAAAGACAAAATCAAATAAATTGACAATTACTTGTTAAAATTAAACAAAAGTTTTTTTTTTCTTCAGTATTCTGTATCAAAACAACAAACCTTGTGGATCTTGTGCCACTATATTCTTGTACAAGAATAGTCACACCAGGCTCTGTTTATTTAGCAAGTGCAATTAATAAAGTACTATATCCTGAGAGCTAAAGAGTTTTGGGGCTTGCATAAATCCTGAATACCTTGCATTACCATTGTTTGCACTGATGTAGGTCTCAGTGTGAGGAAACAGAAGAAGAGGAAAACACACCCATAACTCCTTAGTCAATGCATGTGTCAGTGCTGAGAGCACAACAAGAGCTGCATTTGTTTTCAGGTGTTTTTATGGGAACAGCTTTTTGATCTCCCTGCTGAACTGAATAATGGGCTTGGGTTTTGCACTCTACATTTCAGAAGGGTTCCTTTTACTGTTTGATCTTCCTATTGCTGAAATAACATCCATTATCACCATTACCTGGGTCAATATAGCAAAGCAGAGATGGAGTGGCTGTGTGGGGCCGTTCTGGTGGAGAAAGCTCGAAGGACCTTGTGCTGTTGTCATCGGGGCAATTTTGTAAGCGTTCGCTGTGTAGCAGCAAATTATTGTTTGTATAATGTAGCTCAGGCATAGAAACAATCTGCAGCCAAGCCGCGTTGAATGACATCTTATGAACAACACTTTTTGTTTCCAGAGCGAGCGATCGAACAATTGTTTACTGTATAAAAGGAAGGAAGGATGTAAATATTCTGTGTTGTTTCCTTTTTGCCTATGAGAAAAAAAAAAAAATCTCTTGTTTGTTTTATGTTCTCTTAAAATGGACAAAACATCTGCAATGAAAGTTTGAATTCTTATTCCTCTTGTTCATTCTTTTCATAAAAATCCTGATTAAAAAAGTGTCCAATTGTAATGACTGTTGTAACAATTTTCATCATAGTTTGGTTAAATAAGAACCAGTAAAGCCTAGAAAGCCTGAACACAATCAGCCTCGTCTGCAGATGTGCAACGAGGCACTTCATCTGTGAGCCGTATTAAAGCGCCTGAACACACACTGGACAGCTTTAGTGTGCTCTGATGTATAGCTCTATATTTAGCCGCAGGGTAAATCCACTCATATCAGAAAGTTTGAGCTCATTTTTAGCTAGCACAGCATCTGAAGCTCTCCTCTGACTGTTAGCCGCTGCGCTAAAAAGCCTTTGAAGTCCACTGATCAGACAGACAGCTGCCTACACCTGGTGCCCGCACAGTCCTGACAAACACACTCCCCCAGGGACCCAAAACTCCAAGACAAATATAAACACACCCTGATCAGTTCACTGGCACCGCTTAATGACCTGTTGTCATCAGGTGTTATTTTAGTTAAAGCACAGTTACTGTTTCACTGCTGCTGTCAGGGACAAACTGTAATACCTAGGGTCTAAAAGACACGTTGACTTATCCGCTACATGTGTGAAATATGAAAGCATATTATTGAGGTGTTTATTTTGAAGCAGTATGTGAGAGGCTTGTGTCTGTTTACATAACGCCTGTAGTATTTCTTCATCATCTGCTGTGGTTTTAAATGATCTTTAAAGATGGCTGATTTTGAGGCTTAGTGATGCAACATATGGCATGGAATGATTTCTAACCCAACACTTATGAATATGAATATGAATTACAAACATTGGGAGATCCTGATTGTTAGACAGTGAAATAAGTATTTCAAGTATCATTTGTACCAGGTACGAGTCTGCTACTTCATACATTTTTAAATGAAAAAACTTCTCATTTAGATACAATACACCATAGTATATATAAATCTAAGTATGTATGAAATGCTATACAATGCCTTAACAATGTCCTGTTTCCGCATGGATGCTGCAGATTCATTGGCAGAGTAATTAACCTACACACAGGTGCTCAAACTTTAAAGTAAATTTGGGGCTTAGTGAAAACAGTTCATGGAACATTCACTTGGGCCTGAAAATCGTAGTAGTGGAAAAGTATTTGGCTTTTACAGCTTCTACAAGGTCTCTGAAACAACAGGAAAAAAGGGAAACGCTTACCATTAAAACTTTGTGCAAACTGGGACATAGACAAAATTCAAAGCTATTCTTGTTTAACTGACACTGGAACAGGAAAACTGTAAAAAGTCTCTATTTGAACTGCAGTGCGAGAGGTCAAGAGGTTGGTGTGGTGCTTTCAAAGCCACAAACAGGATGTTGCTTTTTGCTGCATGGACAGAGGCGTTGTCAAGTGTTTTGAAGGTTTCAATCTAAAGAAAGCAGGATGCAGGCCTGTTCCCCCGTCTGACAA